ATTGCGCCCCGATTCCCCCTTGGAATTCGACGCATTTCCGTTGCTTTTGCCCTAAAAACATATGCTTTATATCGGTTCTATAGTCGAACATTTCGAACATCGAAAATGCAGAGAGCCCAGAACACAACACTTCCCTCTTCTCGTAGCGCATCGATTCGATTGCCTTTTGTTTATGCAAATGTAAAAGAACATTTTTCTTGTTTTTTTCTTTTCTTTTTCTTCGTGTTGTGAGGGAAACCCAAACAATTAGCTATGCGTGAAAGTAAATAAACTATTTTTACTATTGGAATACTTCATTTTATTCGGTTTCTCAGCTACGTTTCTATTTGTGGTGTTTTGTTCCGTCTGTAACTAGGCCAAGCCCCAGACAAATGGGCGACTGACTGAACAGATCTGCCCTTTTGTAGTAGTACTTTTCTTTCGTTTTTGCTTAACTTTTTCCATAATTTATTAACGATTTTTCACGCTCAATAAATGGCGAGGAAAAGTTAGGTTTTCATTCATAATTTTTTAATGATTTTTTAAAGAACTACCTCGTATATTTATATACGCTCATTAAACAGAAAAAATACCAAAATGAGCATAAATAATAATCAGTCGACCCATCAGTAAAATCATCATCATTAACTCAGTGACTGACTGGCAGACAGAACCCCCCATTCATAAGAAGAGCCGACAAGAGAACAAAACAATTTATCCCCAGCATTTGGAATTCTTTGTATTCTTCTGTTGCTGAATCTACACCGCCTGAGGGGGTTTTGTAATCATTTCATACATCATTATTGAAATGGAAATTGAAATTAAAACCCGAAAACCCAAAAGTCATTCAACTTGAACGTTCAATCGTTACCATTTGGCCTGATTTTTGGCCCTATTGTTAAATGTTCGTTGGCATTGAACATGGGATAGCCCGCTCCCAAAACGGAGCTTCGGTTGTACAAATCGTAGACTTTTCGTATGATTTAACTTTTTTTTTGGGCGTATAATTTTTGTTAAAGTTTAAGGTTTATTCTTACTTTATTTTAACTCGAATGAGACAATCTTTTCCTGTTGAAGAATCGTAATTAGAGACATCGTCTGGGATTGGTGTAAGACAACTTTGTAAGCTAAACTTCTATAGATGCCAGTAGATTTTCTTTAAAAGTGGAGGGCTTTGAAGATACATATTTAAAAGCTTAAGAAACTTTTTGTACCTTTAGAACCAGACATTTTTTATTGTGACTTTTAACTAAATAAATTGTAAAGCATACATTTGGAGAAGCTTCTCTATCTTACGAGTGTACAAAAATGGCGTATTCAACTAATAGTTGAACTCTTCACCGATATTTTAAAACTTTTTATACCCTGTGCTCGCTTTGCTATCGCACTAAATTAAGTTTACTTAAAATTTGTGCAACAAACTGAGTGACGGGTGTGTCGTGAACCTCAGGGGACTGATTTACATCTTAGCCTTGAATTGTGTATAACAAAAGTATATGTATATTTACGATTGAATGACGTTTTAACGTACTAGTATTATCTAGAAAAAAATTGATCTTGGTATAATCATTGCGAAAATATATTCTAACAACTATATAATTTTAGAAATCGTAAAAAAACCCATATTTAAAATAAACTCTTTTAAGGCATGAAATAACCATTGAATTTATTACTGTAACGTTTTTATTTGGTTTTAACCAGAAATATGTGGCGTAAAATGAAGTTTAAACCAGTTAAACCTGTAAATAAAAAAAAATTCGATTGTTAATTAAATCTTTAACAATAAGATATTTTGCATCTGTAGATGTTGCTGATTTTCAACAATTTCATATCACGTGCTTAGAATTAAATCCCCAGAAATAAGAGCTGTGTGTGTTCCAAAAATATTTTAGAGACGACATCTTTAATGAATTCACTTTTACTTGATTAGAAACGAAACAATATCGCTCCATGTTTGTCTTATGACCAGATACGGGTAATCGTATTCCCAAACAATTAAGTTGTTTTGGCCAAAAGTGTAGCGCCTCTCCTCTTCAGCTCAGACTCGTTTCAAGTAAAACCTGAAATATTTGGTTAAACAAAACTCCTCTTCTGACGATACTTCTCTCATAAATTAAAGTGCCCCCAAACTATCTACCGAATTTGGCATACACTGAATAGATTTAATTTTTTAAATAAAAACTAGTTTGTCCATAATATTTGGTCTCTATATATTTTCGGTTTTGCACTCTGGACAAAAATAAATGTACGTCGTTTATTAGTTAATATTTAGTAGGCCATAAATCATTTGTACTTTTGGGTTATTATTTTTCGTTGTTCAACAACTTTTATCAGGAAAAAAAAGCGGTAATTATGGCAACGATAAAGAGTGGAATCCACTTGGCCATTTTATAGATAAGGAAGGTATTTTGTATTTGGTCAAGTCTAACTAGACGAATGTCCGATTCTCTGGAAATATAAAAAACTTCGGCAGTTCGCCCCGCTCGGATGCTGCTAGCCCCAGCGTCTGTGCTCCTCTTTTCCTTAATGAGACGTCATTTAATAGTGTGGTATCCCATTTCAAAAAGCTTGAAATCCTTGGAGATATTTTTTGTTGAGAGCTGGGGCAAGTTCTACATTATAATAAAACCAAAATGTGATGAAAATGTGGGTCAAATACTAGTTATCTTTAGGTATTAGAATATTAAAAAAAAATGAAATTGTGGAAATCGTTGGAAGAATTTGTAGTACGTGCCAATGAAAGAATTATTCAAATGCACGCTTTAAATAAAGTTGGATCGATATATTTTTCCTAGTTATAGACCTGTGCAAGTAATTTTAAATTGGTTTTTTAGAATCATTGCCCTCGTAACTATTACACTACCACTGTCTCTAGATTAAACCATTTGGACTGTGTGGCGTGATGAGTTTATAGTATAAACTTTATGCATATAAAAGATATAAATAAAAATATTCACTAAAACCCTTTATTTATGATTTGAAAATGCCACATTGAGGAATTTCTTCACTAATTTATTACAGATCCTATGCTACATCAAATGTTTACAAGCCATTAGAGACCTTTTAAACTGTCACAGAAAAGCTCACAAAAGTTTTGATATGAATTTAGACCTTGCCTCAAGTTCATTTTAATGAATACATTGCAGAAAATCGTAGGAATATTTATTTGAAATTAGAAATATTAACAACCATACATATGTATGTTTTTGAGTGACTTTCAGTTGCTATTGCAAATTGGGGGCAACCTTGAACTAATTTCTATTTAAATAATCTTTTGTCAGCCTGAGAAAATTGCGTCACTCCCGCATTAAATGAATGAAAATTTAAATTCTAGAAAATAAATTTTGAAAAAAGATACAAAATATGCATAAAGGTTTCAAAATGATGTATCTCAAATTAGGTATTACATTATGTGTGCTTACTTTGTAAATTATGTTGATAATTATCTTTGGATTTGGACGCTTACAATGGCTGCTGTTATGCCGATTTATTTTATGTAATAATTCTTATTCAAAGCATATTTCGTGTCTGACTGTAGATTTTTTCCATACATTTTTTTATTTATTATGAGGAAATCTATTTTTGTATCGTAGTATTTTCCGTTGGCATGCGTTTGGCCATGTGCCAGAGTAGCGAACCCAATAGACCACGCACCCATGGGCTATGTCTTTGTGTTTTTTTTTTTTTTTATAGGCAAAAAGAAGCTTATAGACAGCTGTTGTCTGCTATTCCATTTTCACTGCACTTTTCCCCGCCCCCATTTGGATGGCTCGTGACTCTCCTGAATTTGTGTTTCGTTTCGTTAATTGTTTACAAAAATGTTCATGTTTTTTAGCATTTTGTTTATTATTGCAATTTTTAGGCTCTGAAAATTAAATTGAGGTAATTAAACCACACAAAAATGGGTGGAAAATGATGAGTAAATATTTGCTTTGGCCAATCGCTAAAGATTCTGTTTATAATTTATTTGGCTGCCGTTTGACGCAAGCAAAGGGTCAACGATACTGTTTGGAAATGCTTTATGGTTAATGGTTTGCATATGCAAGATTTTAAGTTTTGATGTGGTGGGAAATGATTCATCTCAATGATTCATTTGTAAGGAAAACTTTGTAAATACATATATATTTAATGTATGTTCAGAAGTCCAAACGTTTTGAGTCGAGGAACACGTGCATCTACAATGAGATATCCGGTTATTAAGTTTCTATATGTATATCTCTGTCAAGCAGAACACGCTGTTATCCAAGGTGTGATGCCAGAATGGCCCACCCTATCCGGTAAATTCCAGTACAAGTCTCACTGGGATAATGTCATCGATGAAGCTAGATAAATACATATAGAGAGAGAGAGAGAGAGATGGTTCTCTCTGAGTAAATGTCGAACCAGAGAACTCACCCTTTACTGCTAGGCCACTCTGGGTTAGAGAGAGAGCACATGCTAGGCGTGAGAGTCAACCGTGGAAATATATTTTCTTCATTTTCGCTATAATAATGATCCAATCAACACGATTTTGTATATACATATATCTTTTCTGCAAACCAATAATAAGGAAGTTTTTCCCTTGATGCTCTTTCTGGAATGCACATCTAAATTTATGCACATACAAAATACAACAAAATAATGAAAGAAACGTTTAAGGCAGAGTAACCCCACAATGCACAAACATGGCGATAATATCTCCCCAAAAACAAAACATGATGTCATCGTGTTAATTTCCTTTTATTTGCCCGACTTAACTGATAATTCAATTAAAGCAAACAATAGCTACAAGTCAAGCGCAAGCAAAAGGTAAAACAATAACACAGCTACATGTACCTTGTACTGTGTACCTACTTGCAAATGTATCTTATCGGGTGTCTTTGGGTCTCGATATCTTGTTGTCATGTTTCCCCGTTTTTGCCTTTTATGTCTCCGTCGACGGATGATACTTGTCTCACAATTAATTACAAATGCAGGGTGGCGGCATAGTTTTTTTTTCTTATTTTCTAATGGTTTTTTTTTTCATTTTCTTACCTTTGCAGAGGAGCAAGAACGTGTGCAGAAGAAGACATTCACTAATTGGATTAATTCATACCTATTGAAGGTGAGTCGTGTATCTATCTATCTACTCGTATCTATCCAACCGTATTCCCATCGATTTTTTTCAAACGTCTTGAGTGTGCAAATTAATTTTGTCTACATTTTGTGGCATTGAAATTTGCATATTGATTGTTTAGATAAACAGAAACGTGAGAGGTTTCTGGTCTCTGCTTAAAACCAAATAAAACTAAACCCGTAATCCGAAAAATAGGTTAAGGGGCGTGACATTGTCCCCCATTTGCAAATGCAAAAACGGATTTCAAGCGTGATAAGCGTATTTAAGCATTTATTTCACAAATACTCATAATTATGATGGAAATAATAAGCACAGAAATTATTGTTCATATAATTTGGATTGAAATGATATGAAAAAGCTTGACATGTGAAGGTCTTATTTTTGTGGAGGCAGATCTATAGAGGATCATTTTGTCATTTTCGGTTATTCATTGTCAGAGAGTGTCAGTGAAAAGTATAATAATATTTTTCATTGGGGTTCAACTGCTGTTGGTATGATCTTTTTATGTACAGATAAGTTGAATTTGTCACATACATGTCTAGATATGTTTTTCAGTCAAATTCATGTCTAGAAATGTTCTTTATTTCTTGTAAGTGCTGGAATTTGTTGTATCTTTCAAATAAAAGAAGATGTCTTCGACTATTTGTGGGTTTTCTTTGACTTTTTTTACTGTCCCATTGTCAGTTTTATTCGACTATTGACACATTTTGAAACAGTAGAAACTTAACCGGGCTATAAATCTCATTTATCATGACAGATAACATGAACATTACAAAATATTTCCTTAAGTGTTTTAGTTTTATATTTGTTTGTTTCTATGACCTTGTTAGGGGACTCTGGCAATAAGATCGAAGCATCTATCAAAGATAATTTATAATGTTTAATCGGTGGAGAGTTTTTAATGATAATTAATACTATGTGACTCCCTTTATACCTATCTATTCCTTCTTCTTCTGTGAGTTTGCTACTCTCCTTGCGAATATGTATGTACTTCTTTCATTAGCATACGAGTATGTGCATACCTCTTCGTGTTGTGGCAAACATTTATCATGTCTTAAACATATTCAAACCATGCACGGCACAAAGCACTCTCCTGTGCTATTCTTCGGATGGAAGTCTTCCAAGAATAACTTTCAGGCACGCATCGAACCCAAGTAGCAATGTACTATGGACAAATATTCGTGTTTTTTTTTTGTTGGCATTTATTACAAAATTTTAAGATGCAACTTCTAACTTTATCAAATGTTCGTAAAAATAAAAATGTAATTTGGTTTTTTAACTTTCAATTTAAATTTTCAATTTTGGTTTTAAACTTGAATCATTTTTTAATTTGAATTATTATTGTTTGATATTTTCAATTTTGAATTTGTTTGTTCACATTCATACTGAAATTTAAAAGTTATAATTTAAATGTGTCTAACGTTTATCAAAAAAAATCTATCATGGTCATTTTCCATATTTAAATTTTTGTACTCCCCTCGCAAGTAGGAACAAATGACTCAAGATTTACACTAAAGATAAAAATATACTTAAATTTGATATATATATATATGTATGTACATATGTCCATATGTATGTATGTATGTATATGTATTTGCAAAGAAACGGAGGCCTTTTGCCCATAGTGCAATGTAAGAAATTCCACACAAGACGTATTTGTGTCTATGAAAAGAAACCACAACGACAAAGAGAAAAAGAGAGAGAATGGCAGAAATTGACTGCTGTTTTTGAGACATGGCTAAAAGTAAAGTCAAGTCGTGGACGCAACAAGAGAGTTGCATTAATATGTCGTACAGAGATAGTTCCGTTTCAGGCCACGGATTGCAATTGCCATTAACCCCAGCAAGAAAGAAGCCCACGCGACCGACCGCCTACTGACTTACTTTTACCCCAAAACCCGAACCCCAGACCGTACCCGAGAGTGGATTTAATGCACATTTTTTTAGGCGTATCCGCAAGTCGAGAGTCACAGAAGAGTGTGGAGTCGTGTCAGAGTAAAAGCCAAGAGCCAAGAGCTTGAGTGAGTGCCATGTTGCGTTTGTGTGTCTAATGTGTTATCTTTTAATACCAACGGCAATCTACAGACATGAACCGGCAATTTCTTATACATAGGTACGAATATATGTATGTACACTCGACAAAAACTGTTGCCGGCCGGCCGGCAATTATTCCAATATGGTTGGAAAACCAGTTCTGGCACTCGGATAAGACGGCTTGCTGCAACACTACTCCAACTCCGACTGCAACTGCAAACTCTACTCATAAAAGGAGCAAACACACACAGAAAGAGAGACCAGGGCCTGGGCCGGCCTCTGCGAATGCGAATGCGTGGGTTGCCCCTGATTGAAGTCATATTTCAGTTCCACCCAAAGGAGTCGACAATTCAAATCGACTACAACATCGACATCTACTCGTATAACATCTGCGAGTACGATACGGTCTACACTGTGCATATATTGGCTTATGCAACTATGCAAATGAGTCACATACGATTATAATATGCATCGTGACAACAGCAATTTGTTGATGTATCTCTCTGCTTTTTTCCAATTGCACAACAATTGGTTAACACACATTTTATTTCCATTTCGTTGAATTTTCAAATCCTAAATAACGGACAACCAAAAAAAAAAAAGTTAATAAAACGTAATTTATTTAATTTGTATTTTTGCCTATTGAACCCTTGCTCTGAGGCTGTCAATTTCTATATACACTTGGAGAAATGGTTTCCGAGATTGAGATTTCAGCATGCATGTGAAAAATATGTTAATTTCCTCAGAAATTGCTCTTACACGTTTTAAAAACTTTTCGATAGAGCTTTAAATTTATACAGAACACATACCCGAAAAAAGTATCTAAAAATGGGTGATAATGTCTCTATTTTTTCAATGGAATGAGAGTATCAAATAGGACTTGTTTCATGTATTTCACTACGTTTTTTTCGGTGAGATTAATTGACCATCACTGAGGGATATATTTAGCTTAAACAAAACAAAATATTTTTTTTTTTTTTTTAGAAATCACTTATTGGGGTATTTAAAGTTTTAACCCAAAATCTTTTTTCAGCTATTAAAAAGTTGTCCATGGATTTAAATAATTTTTCCATAAAACATTCAAAGTAGCAATATTCTAGAAATATTTTTTTTGAGTGTGTCGCCTCTAAACATCTTAATATATTCTCTCGCAGTTTTTGTGTATCTTACAGATACACACTACCCTGCGTAGTTTGAATTGTTAATAGGCAGAGAGTCAAAGTTTGAATGGACAGAGATAGTGCCCAAAAAAAAATACTGAGCCCAGTTCAAGGTGAACCAGTTCTCGTGGGGTCTGTGACGACCAACAAAAAAAAACCCGCTCGGAACTCTTGTTTTCATAGAATTTGATTAAAATTGATTAGCTTATTTATACGCTTGAACATACAAATGAACAGACCACAGCGACGTCATGGTCTGTTTTGTATGCTCAATTTTCGACCGGGCCCCTTGTCATTTTTACATTTTTATGACATAATTGATGGCAACGCCTCGACACGAGCTGTGGATATAATGGTGGGTGCTGCCACTGCCGACACCGACACCGCAACTAGCCCCATTTCCATTTGAATTTATAGAAAATTGCAATCAAACTAAAGTGAAAGGATTCACACACATTATTGCTGCTTAAATTAGAAAGGATTTCGTGCCTGTGAAAGTGGGCTACGGACTACGACTGGAGACAAAACATTTGTCAGGTTGTAAAATCTAATTGAGCTTTAGACAGGTGACAAGTGAAAAGGCCATACTAAACTTACATGCTATAAGTGGTGAGAATGGTGATGGTTTCAACGAGAGAATGGAGATTTATTACATATTTTATGGAATGAAAGAGATGTACATATGTTTGTATATTCATTTGGAATTGATAAATATGGGATGTATTAAGAAAGACGAACAGTTCCAAATCGGTAGATTTGAAAGTATTTTATGATATTTTTATAGAGTTAATCCAGATTTAATACAACAGAATTATTGGTAGATCATTTGGATAGTTCGCATGTGAAGGAAATTTCTGTGAAAAATACTTTTATGAGGCTTTTATGAGTAGAGGGAACATAGATTTTGACATAGAAAAAAACCCAAACGAAGCCTTAAAACATTTTCAATTGCAAAGAAATACACTAGAAGATGACGTGAGCTACAAACATAGCAAATACTCGTACTCCAGCCTATGGGTTTTCCATTGCGGAAACATCTTAAACACATAAAAACAGACTTAAGGAACTTAAGTACTTATCACCTTAACTGGCGGTAATTATAATGTTCTAGAGTTCTGACCAATTCAAGCAGCCCCATACATTTTACGGTTAACCCTGTAAGACCCATTTTGATTTCATGTCCAGAGTATATTAAGTGCTTTAGAGGAGGGGTACCCCTGGGTAACGACAACAAAATAGACAAAAACACTGTGACACCATGAATTCCTGCAACAACAAAAAAAAAAGTTGGAAATGGAAAAGAGGCGTGTGCTTCGGTTGAACAGGAAACGGAAACATTGAAATTGATTTCGCAATGTCTGCCTTCTGGAGAAGAATTCACACAAAAAATTGGGAAACTTTTTCCACCAGAGGGAAATGAAAACTTCACCCAAGAAGGAACCTCTCTCTGTGTCGCTGTCATTGTTGGGGAGAAAACTTTTGTTGCAGAAACTATTTGGCCACAGAGAAAGAAAAAGCTCAATTAAATGCTACACTCAATTACAAAAGTATTTTCAAGCCATTCCTTTCCATTCCCTTCCTTTCGTTTGTTTTTCTTTTGTTTTCTGATGGCACTTCCGTTGCGGGTGCCCCACAATGTGCCATTAACTTACAGAAATTGTAATCTTTATTCTGCGGTAAAAATTTAAGTTAAATGCCGGCTCGTGCCTTTGGCCAATTTGTCGCAAATTATCGCCATGCCAAAAACCTAAACGACTTTAACTATTTTAATTGATTTAATGTTTGCCTGAATGTGCAGACATTTTCTTTGATTGATTAGCCCAAGCAATGAACTAATGTAAAAGCAGCCAGAAAACAGCTTAAATTGCCCAAAGATAAAAACCATAAAATGCTGTTACCCTGTGGACCATTAAGTTTGTTGATTGAGCCATGAATACGAATGCATAAAGCGTTCAAAGTGCCACAGTGCACATCAAAATGCTATTAAAAACTACACTTGAAAGTGATTGGGATGGGATACTCGACCTTGCTGAGGTGCTCATTAAATAAAAAAATACATTTTAGGGGTGTTACAACTTTAATTAAAGGTGAAGTTATATGTTTTTATACGATAATAGTTGCTGTAAATAGTTGAAATGGATTAAAGAAAGCATATCAAATGTTTATAAAGTGTAGAGAAAATATATCAGTAGAATCAGGTATTTAGTAGACCGAAGATTAGGATGGGATAGGATACATGATATGAATACGATTGGAGTAGGATATGAATAGAAAATAATATATATTAGAAATATTGATCGAGGAAAATTAGAACTAAACGGACTACAAATATGAATACAAATGAAGCAAAATAATGTAGTACACGAAACTATAATCTGAGCATTATCTAAAAAATTCATGCAAGCCATGACTGGAATTAATTTAAGCAACATTATTAGTTTAAAAGAGTATTTTTAAACTATCAGTTCTATATCTGTCTGTTCTGATATCTGTGATATATTCTAAACTGAACTTAATGGCAAAAGTACATACCAATTATGGACGAGTGCTAGTTTGAATAATAGGTACAAAATTACCATCGGATATATATAAAATGTAAACGATTTAAAATTAATCACTTTATAACGATTCTGTTGAAGTAACTCTTCCTTAACCTCTTCTTCTTGCATTTCAGCGTGTTCCACCGCTTCGTATCGATGATTTAATTAATGATTTACGCGATGGCACAAAACTAATTGCATTGCTCGAAGTACTGTCCGGTGAACGATTGCCCGTGGAGAAGGGCCGTGTACTGAGACGACCACATTTCCTTAGCAATGCCAATACGGCCCTGCAATTCTTGGCCAGCAAACGTATCAAATTAGTCAATATCAATCCCGCAGATCTGGTGGATGGGAGACCACCAGTTGTGTTGGGTTTGATATGGACAATCATATTGTACTTCCAGGTAACTATATCTATATCTATCTAGACTAGTAATCCATTTCCTACTACATATAAAAACCCACACCAAACACACACGAAAAGTGCACCGGTTTTGATCACAGAATTGAGGAAAATTGGTTTTTGCTAGTTGTACGTACACCAATCTCACGAGGCTACCATCACCAGTAGAGAGATGTGCACCACCAACCCCACCCACCTAAATGATACACAAATACTTTGTCAACGTAAATTAACCCAATGAAATCCTTCTTTTTCTTATATACTACTATACTATATTAAACCCTACACACAAGCTTCGTAAAAAGAGGCGGAAAAACTTAGTTGTAGTTATAAATTATGCGCCACAGGTAGGTCCAATTTGCTGTAAATCTCTGTCTCTGTCTATATGTATCAGCGGTGGACACTTCCTTTGCTCCCAACTGTAACCATCTGGCCCCATTGCTAAGAGACAGATGTACCTATATTATTTTATTCTTGTGTTTTTTTATACTTTTTTTTTTTTATTAATTTTTATTAATTACAAAAAAATAAAAAAAATATTTTAAAAATATATATGTCTTGGGCATTGCTGCTTGACTCGAGAAGCACAAGCGAATGCTCAAATAGAAAACTCCCGAGAATTAAAAAAAAAAAAAATACATGTTTTTCAATGACAACAACCTTACAATAAGGATTGCTCTTCCAAATTAATTGCCATAAGGAGTGTCCACCGCTGATCTAAATGTTATATCTTGTTATTGTGCGTTCTGTGCATTCCCTCATATATTTTTGGTAGAGGTTCTCCCTTATTTTTAGTTGGTAGCCATAGTATATTTTGAGGCACTTCCATATCTTAAGTTTAACCATTAAACATCCCCCACATATCACAGAATTTGATGTGACTCTTACACTTACTAATCTCCTGAATCATTCCCACAGATCGAGGAGAACAGCCGCAACCTAGAATATTTGGGTCATGGTATTGGTGGTTCGGTTAGCTCCCTCGACAGTGTTGGCAATCAAAAGCATGGCGACCTTAAGGCTGAGAAATGGAAGCAGGGAGCCAGAAAAACGCTACTCAATTGGGTGACAAATGCCTTGCCAAAGTGAGTAGAGAGCAGCTTATTTAGAATGTTGAAATTTTATGCTAATTATTATACCCCAAACAGAGACAGTGGCGTGGAGGTGAAAGATTTCGGCGCCAGCTGGAGAGATGGCGTCGCTTTCCTAGCCTTGATCGATGCCATCAAAGCGAATTTGGTTAATTTAGCAGAGCTAAAGAAGGCCAGCAATCGTCAACGTTTGGAGACAGCTTTCGATGTGGCCGAAAGCAAGTTGGGCATTGCCAAACTATTGGACGCTGAGGATGTGGATGTACCCAAGCCAGATGAGAAGAGTATCATGACATATGTGGCACAATTCTTGCACAAGTATCCCGAACCAAAGGTAAGCAGAATCTTGTCTTGGCTTTCACGGAAACCTTTCTCTAATATTTATATTTCTTTCAAGGGTGCCTCACGCGATCAATCGCATGTGCAGCAAGAGGCGGACGAGCTGCGTCGCTTCTTGGTGGAGAAGACCACCGAGTATGAGCCCATGGTCATGCAGAGCTCTTTTCCACGTGATTTTAGTGAATATCTGCTGGCACGTTCAGAGGTCGATGCCCATTTGTCGGCATATAACCGCCTGAAGCAATTGATTGAGAGCCAAAGCGGTTTCCTGCAGGTCTCACATCAATCGTGGATGGAAATCAATGAGCTGTGGCAGCGCCTCCAATACCAGATGATGTACTGGCTCTGGCTATTGGATGCCGAGCTGCCTGGAGAGTTCGGCATCGTTGGAAAATGGCTTGCCGAGGCCGAGAAATTACTGATGGACAATGAGATACCCAATGCAATGAATGAGGAGACGGCTGCTGTGATTAGTAGAAAGCTGGAAGAGCATAAGCTCTTCTTTGCCGATCTGCCGCGCATTCTGGCCATGTTCGATAATGCCAAACGGTCGCCCTTGGCCCAGCAGGTGCCTCTGGAACAGCTGCGGAATATGGAGCGACGCCTGCAAGAGGTGGGACCCAAGGCCGCTGAACGACGCATCCGTTTGAAGTTCTTGGAGCACAAGTGCTGTCTGATTGCGTTCCTCAATCTCGTGGAGAACAAGATGCGCGGCTGGACTGGAAAGTATGGGCACGAGGAGAAGGTGGCCCAACAGCTGGATCAGTACAAGAACTTTGTGTCGCGCAACAAGATCTTCCAGGAGTTCCAGAAGGCCTTTGTGGACATGCAACAGGTGGTGGAGGAGTACAAGCGCGAGGGCAATGTACCGCGCAAGGACATCAACGAGATTGATCGCTTCATGTACGAGACGGAGGAGCGCTGGAAGCGCGTCTCCATGGAGCTTAAGTGCTGCCAGAACTCGCTCGAAGAGGTGGTCAACTGTTGGCGGAGCTGGAACCAGCTGGCCCCCAGCTGCGAGGAGTGGCTACTGCTCGCCGAGCAGAAGGTCAATCAAAGCGAAGACGATCGCCTGGAGTTCTTCCAGGATATACCCGTGTGGAAGGACAAGTTTGATGCTTTGGCCAGCTCGGCCAATTATTTGATTGCCTCCTGCGAGGAACCCATTGCCCAGCAGTTACGTCAGCGTCATGGCACTCTGGCCGAGCGCTTTGAGCGTCTGTTTGCCAACACCAAGCAGTATATGCATGCGGGTGACATCATACGCTCCCGCCAGGAGTACAAATCGGGCATTGAGCAGCTGTCCCGTTGGCTGCGAGGCGCCGAAAGTGTACTCGATCAGCGTCAGGTGCTCGGCAACAGTGAGCAGATCCGCCAGTATGGCCAACAGCTGCAACAGTTGGCCAGCGAGATCGATGACAACGAAGAGCTGTTCAAGACAATCAGCCGTAACTTCCAGGGACTCATACAGGACTTGTCCCGCGACGAGGTGGACAAGATGATGAAGCTGCTCAAGCAGGAGAAGGAATCCCTAGTGCGCATACGTGCACAGCTGCCGGCAAAGCTGCATCTCTTCCATCAACTGCAGATCCAACAGGAATCATTGGAGGCTGGCCAGAAGGAGATCCATCAGTGGCTAAGCGAGGCCGAACAGCTGCTGAGCACCCACAACCTCTCTGGCGGACGGGACTCGATCAACGAGCAGCTGCACAAGCACAAAACATATTTCTCGCGCACCGTTTACTATCGTTCCATGTTGGAGAGCAAGAACAAGGTGTTCCAGAATCTACTAAAGGCCGTGGCGTCGGATGACAAGATCGACACGGCGCCCGGCACCCAGCAAATGCAGCAGCTAAACGAACGCTTCAACTATGTGATCCAGAATGCCCAGCAATGGGAGCAGCGGCTGGATGCGGCCGCCGGTGGTTGGAGTAACTACAAGGATAACGAACGTGTCGTGAGCGAGTGGCTCACCCAGGCCGAATCCATGCTAGTGGAAAAGCACATCGAATCAAAGACCACCATCGAGACGCAGAAATATTTCTTTGAGCAGGTGAATGATCGCTGGATGAACGACCTGGTGCAGTCCGCGCAGCAATTGCTGAGCACTTTGCCCGCCCAGGAGCAGCCAGCGTTGGTGCAGAGCGTCGAACAGCTGCAATCGCGCTGGAAGAATGTCCTGTCCCAGGCACCGCTCCATCTGCTGAAGCTGGAGTTCCGTTTGGACGAGAACGCCTTCTATCAGTCGCTCAAGGATGTGGAGAAGGAACTGCAGCTCGAGCAGCAGGCCCTCAACCGCAACGAAGATGTGGACACCATACTGCAGCGCAATCAGCAGTTTTTGGTGCAACAGGATGTGGTGCCACGGCTAGAGCGATGCCTGCAGAACATGCAACGCTTGGCACAGGCCCATCGCCAGCAGCAGCCAGGGGACATCTCTCTGGATCAGGCCTACGACAATGCCCAGGCCCAGTGGCATTCGCTGTCCAACAAACTGGGGGATATGCGACAGACATTGCAGCAGATCCCAGCCCAATGGCAGGGCTACCATCAGAAGTTCAACGAGATGATCCAATGGATGAACACCGTCGACCAGAGCCTCAAGAATATTGTCAATGAAGTGAATACCATGGAGGAGTTTGAAAAGGAGAAGGTCGTCTTCCAGGTGAGAATTCCTTTAGAATGGTTGATTTCATCCCTTTCATCCTTCAAAATATAATCTTCTCATTATCCATAATGCTTGCATTAAAGCTGAGGGAGCTAGTGGTAAATTATTATATGCTTTCACATTTAAATTATAACACGTAACACAGTTCAGATTTGAGGGTGCATTCACATTCGTCAATGATGTTGCATTCAAAGTTTACGCGGGAGTATCAATTCTGGCATTCAATTGAGATAAACAAAAATATGATATTTATTTTTTGCATATTAATAGAAATTTAAATTTAATTTTAACGAACTACTAGTTCGATTTGAAAATTAATTCCATAATTTAACTAAATATTGCAACTAAATTTTATTGCAAAAGAAAAAATTCAAAATCCCGTTCGCTTATGGGAAATTAATGTATCAACTTCATTTGACGAAAGTGCCTCACAATGGAACTAGTGGAGCGATCAATGAATGCTGTTGGAATCTCTTACTTATAATATGTTTTGTTCTTTCAACAGAGAATCTGTCAGGATGCAGACAACAAGCGCGAGGACATGAAGTGGCTGGTCAAAACCTTGGACTCTCTGCTCAGCTATGCCACCGAAGATGAGGCCAACATGGAGCAGAAGAAACTGGAAGATCTGATTGCACGCTACAAGAACCTCATACCGACCATTGAGATAACAATGGTCAAGACGGAGGTGTTCTCCAAATGCTACACGTACCGACGCGAGGTGCACGAGGTGGTGTGCCTGTTGAGCAAGGTCAAGGATCAGACAGAAAATATACCGGCGCCGGACAGTCTGGAACGTGTGAATCGTTTGATTGAAGAGCAGCAGTATGCCATCAATCAGCTGGATCATCAGCGGCCGCACATCATGTCGATGCTACAGCGTGGCCGTGATCTCAGCAAGGATTTGCACGCCCCGGCATTTGTCAATGCCGAGGTCAAGAGTCTGGAGACGGGCTGGAACCAGGCCTACACACAGACCTCCGACAAGCTGCAGGCACTCAAGGGCACCCAGGCGGTGTGGAGTGATTTTGTCGACCAGAAGAACGACATCTTCTCCATGCTGCAGACGGCCGAAACGGAGCTGCGTGCCCTAACGCCCCTGCAGACGGATCCGAAGAATGTCAGCCAGGATCTAAAGTCGAAGCGGGATCTGAATGTGCAACTGCAGCAGGCCTCGCATCAGCTGTTGCCCAAGCTGCATGCTCTCAAGTCGGAACTGGCACCGTTGGCTGCCGCCGACAAGCGTCCCATACTGGAGAAGGAGGTCACCGAAGTGGAGAAGATGTTCTTCAATACGATGGAGCATGTCAAGGATCGCGTTGGCTATCTGGAGGACTACAGTGCCAAGTGGAACAACTACAAGACGCGTCTCGCTGAGCTACAGGAATGGGCCAACAAGGTGGCGCCCAAGAACATCGAAGCGCTGCAGTCAGAGGACCTCACACCCGAAGAGCGTGTGGTCAAGGTGCAGGGCTTCAAGCGCGTCCTTGGGGAGCGCATGAAGCAGCTGGATCTACTGGCCGCCGATGCCTCCGAACTGGCACCGAAAGAGGGCAACATTGCCGAAGCGAAACGTCTAAAGGGTGAGATCTCCAAGCTTCAGGAGGTGCTCAGTGCGATCAATCGCAATGTGGACCATCAGGCACAGGCCGTGCAAGAGGATCTACTCAACTGGCAGCAATTCCAGGCCGGCCTACAGCAGATCAAGCCCGCGGTGGAGCAAAGCGAAGTGAAGGTAAATAATGTAGTTTCTAAACCCCAGACCCTTGAAGAAGCCGTTGCCATGCAACAAAATGCCCAACAATTTGAATCACAATGCCAGGAGCAATTGGACAAGCTCCATGGCATCTCGAACATCAGTCATAAAATGTTGTGTAAAACGAATGCCCCCGACGAACTGGATGCCATGCACTCCCGTTGGTCCGCCGTTCATGAGAATGCCAAGCAGGCGAGTGCCAAGCTCGAAAAGTTGGTTGCCAACTGGAAGTCCTTTGATGGCGATGCGGCCAAGCTGGAGGATTGGATTGGCCAGGGCGAAAAGCAGATGGCCAAGCGTCCGGCTGTGCTGAATACACCGCACATTGACAAACTGGAGAAGGAGCTGGTCAAATTGAAGTCTTTCAATAATGAGATCTCTCAGCAGCAGGCCAAGCTGGTGGCCCTGGGACAGAATGCCGATCAGATAAGTCTCCATTTGGCGCCCGAGGGGGCTGCTGCTCTGAAAGATCGCGTGAACCAGATGAAGGGTAAACTGCAAAAGCTATCGGAGGCCACAAGGGGTAACATCAATGAGGTCTCCGATGCCATTATCTCACGGCAGGACTTTAACGCGAAGCTCGTGAACTTTTCCAATTGGATGGAACAGCTAAGGAATCAGGTCACACAGGTCGAGGAAATCAATCCGGAGCGTGTGGAGACGAGCCTGCATGTGATCCATGCTCTGATGCAGGAGCATGCGGACAAGAAGCCCAGCTTCAATGCCATCTACGATGAGGTCAAACAACTGGCTTTGGGTGCCACACCAGAGGAAACGAATGCCTTGAATGATGCCTATACCGCTCTGGTGGTTAATTATCAGAATTTAGAGACGAATATGCAGCAAAAGAAGGCAGCCCTGGAGAAATGGACAGAGCTTTTGGGTTGGAAGAACGACACGGAATCGCATTTGAATTATTTGAAGCACCAGTTGGACAAGCCCGAGGGACCCGCTGCGGAAGAGTTGGGCAAGGTTATCCAAGAAATTGATTCTTTGGGTCAAGGCATTAGCTATTGGAAGGGGCAGGCCAAGGAGATCGATGAGAATCCTGCCATCCAGCTGCGTGATGCCCTGTCGCGTCGTCCACTGATTGCCACACAAATTGTCAACGATGTGGAGAACAAATTGGAGAATCTGAAGCTGCGTTCGCAGAACCAACAGCAGCAGTTGCAGCAGATGACTGTCCGCAAGGATAAAGTTCCATGCTTTGGAGCACAATTTTGGTCAGTCGCTGCAGGAAAATCGCGACAAGCTGCAGGCGATACTACGACAGCAGCCTACACTCAATAACATTGATCAGATCATAGCCGATTTGGTGGCCCTCAACGAGGCACTGAAGTATCAGGCGGATCTGAAGAATCGCATACATGATGAGGGTTCGCTGCTGATGCGCGAGGATATAGCCAGCATGCCGGCCATCCAAGAGAGTCTTTTGGTAATGGACAAGAACTATGATTCGCTGCAGAATGAAATAGCCGAACGCATACAGAAATACAATCTGATTAGTCAGGCCTTGAGGGAGTATGCTGAATCCAAGGATAAGTTCTCCAAAGAGCTAAAGAAAGCCGAAGATCTGTTTAATGCCATACCACAGCAGCCACGCGACGAAACGGAGCTGCAACAGGCCTCGGAGAAGACACGCAAGACTCTGGAGCAACTAAGGAAATCCAAGCTAAGTCTCGACGAACTCGAGCGACGTGGCAATAATGTGGGAAAACTATTTAGTGCCATTGGCGAGCCCATACCCCAGGAGGTCCCTCAGGAGGTTATGGCTGCCAAACAGCAGTGGCAGGACCTGCACGACAAGACGGCCAAGAATGCGCATGTCTATGAAACGGAAGCGGTTATTTGGTCACAAATTGAAGATGCCAAAAAGGATCTGCTGCCCTGGTTAAACGAAACCAATCAGGGACTTTGCGATGCGGCAGATAATTCCATAGAAATTGAGTTTGCACCAATGCGACTCAGTAAATATCGTACGGAATTGCCTTCATATCAGGCTTTGAAGGATACCATTGCAGAGAAAAGCAAGGATTTGGGTGGAGACATACCCGCTCTGAGGGCACTCAATCAACTTTTGGATGAACAGTTTGCAGAGGTATCCAACAATGCTGAACGTTTGAGTGCTATTACCACATCGTTCAATGATCAAGAACAAGAGCTGCGCAGGCGCTCAAAGGTGGCAGGGGAACAGGTCAGTAAGCTGCGCGAACAGCTCATCAAGTGCGACGACATGTCAGGGGATAATAACAAGATCATGGAGCGTCTACTGCAATGTCGTGCTTTGCGTAAAGATCTAGATGAAAGTGGCAACGAGATTGACAATATCAAGCAAAAGGTGGACGAACTACGCAATCTGTATCCCACATTCAGTGAGTCCATCATCCCCAAAGAACTAAACAACGTACAGAAACGCTATGAAGGCGTCGATTTGTATGGCAAAAAGATTGAGAGCTCGTTGCTGCAGTTCCTCAAGAAGTTCCATGCGGACAGGGTGGGCATGCTGAAGCGTATCATAGCTACGCAACGCGAAAAGGTGGCCTGGTGTCAACCAGAATCATCGAGTGATAAATACAATCTGGATGTAAAGAAATCCTCGTTACAGGAGGTCGGCAAGAGCATAGACGAGTGCAAGGCCAGACATGCCGAGACTTTGAAATCTCTGGAAATGCTGAAGGCTGTGGAGTCCCCACAGAACCTAAAGGAACTCACAAACGATGCACAGCTTCTGGACAATGATATGAAGGCCTTGCAGGATAGCTTTGACCAGATCAAGGGCATACTCGATGAGAATGTGGATCTGTGGTCCCAATACGAGCAATCGAATGAGCAAATATCAAACTGGTTGCGTGATGTGGAGGGACGCGTCAAAGCGGAGACCAGCAGTCAAGTGAATCTTCCAGAAGTGCCACAGAAACTGCAGGAGCTGGCCATCCTACAGCAGGACGTATTGGCCCATGAGCCTATTATCCAAGGGCTAGAGCAGACCTCCCAGCAATTGATTGAAAAGAATCCCGAAGCAAGGATTGGACAATTTGTGCAGCATCTGGTGCAGCGATATCAGGCTGTAAACAAGAGTCTCAATGGATACATTGACAAGATACGCAGTGCACAGTTATCCAACACAAACTTTGCCAAGGCCTCGAAGGACTTTAATGAATGGCAGAGCGATGCCAAGATTGAATTCCAAGAATTGGCACGAATGGGCTCTCCCGGCTCCTCTTCGGCCACGGCCCAACAGCTGCAGACAATCAAAAACTACATCAAGACGCTGGATAATGGTCAGATATTGTTGAATAATGCCGTGGATATAGGAGAGAACTTGTATCCCGTGGTGTCCCCTGAGAATCGTGAACGTATACGCGCGGATCTGCGACAAATGAGAGAAAAGTTTGACTATCTGCGAGACGAGGCGAATGCGTTGATGCAACAGGTTGAGGGTGTGCTCATACAAAAGACCTCCATCGAGGAGAGCTACACCCAAGTCTCGCACTATCTGAATGAATCGAGGGCAAAGGTTACAGCTGGGGATGAACTGTATCCCACTTTGGCCACGAAAAAGGCGGCCCTGCAGAACTATAAAACGCAACTTCAAGAGATTACGCTGCACAAGAATGCCTTGAAGCAGTTGCACGACAAGGCGGTGACCCTGTGCGATGATGAGTCCGAAAGAAAGACAGATGAGTCCATCCAGGAGTATAATACGCTGTCCAAAAAGATCTCCGATCGTATCGCTACTGTGTCCAATCAAGTGACCAAACATGAGGCCTACGATCAGGTACTGGAAAAGGCTCAGGACTGGTTGAATACGATCAAATCGGAGGCCATAGACATCCTCAATGAGACCACGTTTGAGAAGGAGGGAGCCGAAGAGAAGCTGATTGTTGTGGAGAATTTATTGCAGCATAAACCCGAAGGAGATTCGATCTTTGCGACGTGCCACAAGCTGCTGGAAACTGTACTTAAGCAGACACATCCCAACGGACATCCTGCCTTGCTGAAGGGCTTCGAGGAGCCAAAGAATGCGTGGGAGGAGTTTATGATACTGTGTGAGGATTCGCTGGTAAAACTCAAGCAACTCTGCTCGAAATGGGATGAGTTTGATTCGACTATCGAAGATTTAGACAACTGGATGAAAAATGTGGAAGGTGTCGTCAAGAACCAGAACCTCAAGAGCACGGCGGAGGCAAAGAGTGCACATCTGAAGCAACTTCAGGACATATCTAAGGACATTGAACGTCGTGGCTCGGCTATCAATGAGCTGATGGATCAGGGTCGAGAAATCGAAGGCGAAACCGATTTGAATCTAAAACTCTCGCGCTTAAACACACGCTATCAGACCCTCAAAAACCTGTGCAAGGAATCGATAGCAAAATATGTGAATTATGTGAAAGATCACGAGAGTTTCGACCAGGATTTCGAATCGTTCAAAGAGAGCTTGCAGTCTTCGGTGAATGATTTGTCGAAGGCCAATGAAATCACTGGCGATCAGAGTGTACTCCAGGAGCAGCAGAATAAACTGCGCGAGATGTCGGATAAACGTATTTCCGACTCTACTCTGTTTGAGGGTCTCATAGATCGCGGGGAGAAGCTGTACGGACACACCAGTCCAGAGGGTCGTGAGATTATACGCCAACAGTTACGCTCTTTGCGCACCCTGTGGGATAACTACACGGACGATTTGAATGCGGCCACCCAAAAGATTGATCAATGTCTGTTGCAGTTTAACGAATTTAGTATTGCCCAGGATCAGTTGACTAAATGGTTGAAGGATGTGGATAAGGCCATGCAGAGCCATACGGAGCCAAAGACCACGTTGCAAGAGAAGCGTGCCCAGTTGCAGAATCATAAGCTGTTGCACCAGGAGATCACCACACACAATGTCCTGGTGGATAATGTGTGCGACAAGGCACAGTTACTCATTGATCAAATCAAGGATAACTCTTTGAATATCTATCTGCATTCGATTAAGGAATTGTTTCAGAATATTGTCCAAAAGTCTGATGTGATCTTGCACAATCTAGAGGATTGTGTGCAGAGGCACAACGATCTGAACAATGGTCTGGCCTCGGCCAAGACATGGATATCGAATGAGAAGGCCAAGCTTTTGGAATGTGACGATGCCTATGGCGAGAAGGCGGACATTAAGCGAAAGATCGAAACCCTGGGACAACTGGCGCAAAACAAACCGCAAGCCATGAAATTGATCAGCGATATACGTCTGCAATTCGACAAAGTAAAGCCCACAACCTCAGAGAAAGGCAACGAAGTCTTGGATAAGGAAATAGATGAACTAGAGACCACCTTGAAGTCCCATTTTGATGACATCGAGGGCATAGAGGGCAAACAAAAGGATGTCCTCGCCCAGTGGGACAAGTTTGAGAAGACCCTCGAGGATCTGACCAAATGGTGTCGCAATGCCGAGGCCGTGTTCCGCGAGCAGCAGCTACAGTCGACGCTGCACGAAAAGGTCGAACAGTTGGAGAAATACAAGATCCAACGAGAATTGATAATCCAGAAGGAGCGAGAAATTGATGCCTTTTGGCGATGCCGCCCATTCGCTGCTCAACAACTGTGGGGCCGATCGTTTGAAAACCCTGACCACACAGATCACGAATCGTTATCAATTGCTGCAGGTGTTGAGCAAGGAAGTAGTCAATCGTTGGTCGAATCTTGTGGATGATCATCAGTTCTATCAGGACAAGTATAATGAGGTGGATCTGTGGCTGCAGCCAATTGAAATGCAATTGGAGAAGGTGCTGCTCAAGGATGAACAGGAGCATAACATATTGCAGGTACTTCTATCCGAAAAGGAGCAGGCAGAGAATCTATTTGGTGCATTGAATGCTGCTGGAGAGAAGGCTTTGCCGGAGACTTCGACTCAGGGCAGAGAGAAGATCAGAAAGGACCTGCGTGACATACGCGATCGCTGGGACAAACTGGACGAGGGCATACGCAATCTGGAGAAACGCCAAGAGGCCCAGACCGTCCAACTGTCCAGCTATCAGGATATCCTCAATCAAACTGTCAACTGGTTGGATCAAGTGGAAAAGCTTCTAAACAATGAAAGCCCCTCCACGTGGACGAGTGCCCAGGAGATACGCTCCAAGCTGTACAAATACAAGGCCACCAATCAGGACATCAACTCGCACAAACGCATCGTGGAGGCTGTCAACGAAAAGGCAGCTGCCCTGCTAGGAAGTTCTGCACCTCCTAATGCGGATGACATAGCCCAAGCGGTGACCGAAGTGAACAAACGCTACGATCAGGTGGGACAGCAGTGTGCCCAGCTGGTCTCCGATCTGGATGCGGCCTTTGAAGTATACCAACAGTTCAGCGAACTCCAAAAGGCCCAACAGGACTACCAGAAGAATCTCTGGGATCGTCTCACTGGCTACTCTGATTACTCCGGCAACAAGGCAGCCCTGCAGGCGCGTCTCCAGAAGATCAATGAGATCCAGGATGCCCTGCCCGAGGGTGTGGCCAAACTGAAATCTTTGGAAGAACACATTCAAGCAAATGCCAGTAATATACCGCCACGATCCAAGGAGGCCATGGCCAGGGATTTGGGCAATCTACATGCAGATTTTGAAAAGTTTGGTGCTTCATTGAGTGATGTCAAGAGTGGACTGGAGAACCGTCTGCAACAATGGAACGAATACGAGATAAACTTGGATCGTCTGATCAATTGGCTGGGAGAGGCTGAGAATGCACTCAAGAATTACAACCTCAAGAACTCGTTCGAAGAGAAGGAGGAACAACTAACACGCTTTCAGTCTTTGGCCCAGAGTTTGCGTCAAAACGAATCCGACTTTGATAAGATGAAAGACGATACCTCAGAGCTGGTGCAGAGCTCCGGCGAGACAAGGATTGCCGTGAATGTGCAACAGGTATCTTCCCGTTTCCAATCCATCCAAGCTACAGCCAAGGAGATCCTCAAGAAGTGCGAGCAAGCTGTCCAGGATCATGGCCACTTCAATGATAAATATAAGCAGTGTGCCAATTGGTTGGCCCAGGCCCAGGGACGTTACGACGACTGCTCTGATTTGTCTGCCGTTGGATCCCGCGATGACCTTCTAAGGAAACAGATGGTCATCCAGGAACTGCTGGCCCAACAGCCCACGGCCACGCAGCTGCTGAACAGCACTGTGGAGCTGGGGGAAAAGTGTTATGGTTCAACAGCCACCGAGGGTCGCGAGGCCATACGCAGCCAGTTGGATGACCTGACATTCGATCAGCTCTTTGACAACATAGCCATTACAGCCAGGAAAATCCAAGATAAGATTGCCAAATGGTCTGGATTTGATGAGATTGCCGACAGTCTGAAGTCGTGGCTGGAGGAGACAGAGAATGCTTTGCCCGCGGATCTCGAACTGAAGACCACTCTCGATGAGAAGCGCACAAAACTACAGACCTACAGGGATATACTCAATGACATTAACAACCATCAAGTGGAGTTGGGAAATCTACAAGAGATTGCTGCAAACTTGCCAGAGAAAACAGAGCATGTGGACGGGATCCTCAAGGATATTGCTGAACGCTTTGGAAAGCTACAGAAGCGCGGGCAATCCTTTGTGGAGCGTTACGAGGGCATTGTGAGTGCCCATCAGCAGTACTCGAAGGCCGTGATGGATGCCCAGGAGTTTATTGATGCCACTCTCAATACGGTGCACTATTGGGGTGATTTGGACCTGGAACAGATCTCCCTGCACACGAATCTGGATCGTTTGAAGAACCTGAAGGCCAGTCTGGCCGATGAGTTCCCTCGAGTAGATCAAGTGCGTGCTTTGGGTGAGAAGGTCATCCCCGGCACCGTGGATGTGGGACAGGTGAACATCAAGTCTCAGATCGATACAACGCAACAGGAATGGGAGGGTCTTCTGGCGGCTATTGGATCTACCATCGAAGGAATTGAGTCGCGTCTGCAACACTGGTCGGAGTACGAACAGCTGAGGGATCAGTGTCTCGCTTGGATTCGGGATACCGACAACAATCTCCATGCCATTGATCTGAAGGAGGATCTGCCCAAGAAGCGCGCCCAATTGGATGTTCTGAAGGCACTCCAAGGCGATGTGAGGGCCAAGGAATTGGAGGTGGATAATGTCACAGAGAAAGCACAGACCCTGTTAAAGGGCCACCGGTCGTCAGGTCCCGAGTTGGTCGCGAAATACCAGCAGATCTTCCACAAGGTAAAGGAACTGAACAATCGCTGGCAGCAATATGTCTCCACGCACGAGGACTTTGATAATTCCATCAACGATTGCACCTCCTGGATTAACGACATCAAGGAGAAGCTGGACTATTGCTCGGACATGTCGTCGATGAGCCAAAAAGAGTTGGACAAGAAATTGGCCACCATTCAGGATGTGATACTACTCAAGGATGAGGGTTCTGCGCGTGTTCTGAAGATCTTAGAGCAGGCCCAGCACGTGCTGGCCAATACGGCGCCTGGGGGTCATGAGGCCATCAACAGGGACCTCACCGATCTACAGGATCTGTGGTCTGGCATTGCCTTGCGCATAATGGATGTGAAATCGAATCTAGATGACTCGATAACCCAATGGTCGGGCTTCCTCGATCAAGTGCAGAATGTGCGCAAGTTTAATGAATGGTTGGAGGCTCTCCTGAAAGAATTGCTGGAAAATCAAACCACAATGACGGAAAAGCGAGCACAGCTAGATCGCGTCAAGTCCACGGAGGAAAAGGTGCGCGTGGAGAAGATCGATGTGGATGCATTGAAGATTCAAGCCAAGGAAATGATTGCCAGCGGTCAGCAGAGTCAGGCCGCCTATCAGGCCCAGAAAGTGTTGGACAACTTCGATGAATTGTTTGGGAAGGCACAGAAACTGTTGTCGGATCGCCAGGATCAGTATAGAGATCATCGTTTGTTCAAAGAGGCTTACGATGATTTGGTTAGCTGGATAGGTCGTGCAAGGGAGAAGTTCCCTGCCCTCAAACAGAGTAGTCTAAGCGATAAGCTCGCCATTGAGAATGCTGTCCAGGCCACAGAGGCCCTGCTCAATAAACAGGCCCAGGGAGAGCTGCTGGTCGAACATCTTGTGCACACCGGTGAAGTGGTGCTCGCAAGTACATCCACGCAGGGCCAGGAGATCATACGGAATGATATACGCGCCCTGCGCGACAGCTTTGAAAGTTTGTTCCGTGAGATCAATCAGCAGAAGGAGAACCTGGAGGTCACCATGGTGCAGTGGCGTGCCTACAAAGAGGAGTACGAACGTCTCATGGAATGGCTGCAACAGATTGATATACTGGTCAAGAATCACAAGCTCAATCTGTGTCCCACTCTGCCGGACAAGGAGAAGCAAGTCGCAGACATGAAGGACGTGATGGCGAGACTGGAGAAGGGCAAGGAAGACATTGATCGATTCAATGCCTCGGCTGCCAGTCTTCTCAAGTCCCATCTAGATACGTATGTGAACAACCAACTGCGACACTTGAGCTCTGTGTATCAGGTGCAGGTAAATCTGGCCAAGGATGTGCTGAAAAAGGTGGAAACAAACCGAGATCAGCATCGTGAATACGATAGCAATATGCGATCGGCCAGGGACTGGATAGCCCATGCCAAGACGGCCATTCAATCGGCTGGCGATGGTGCTGGCTCCAAGGAGGCCCTCCAGCGACGTCTCGAACAGATCCAGGACCTGATACGTAACCGAGAAGTGGGCCAAAATCTGGTCCACACAGCCATCAATAATGGTGAAAAGATTATACGGAATACGCGTTCTGATGGTAGGGATGCGATCAACAGCGAAATGAAGGAACTGCAAACGGAATGGGACAGACTCGTGAAGAAAATGTCCAATGCCAAGGTTCAACTGGAGACGAACCTGCTGCAGTGGGCGGACTACAGTTCCAGCTACACACAGTTGCAGCAATGGATCACCGACAGGGAGGCTAAGCTCCAACAGGCCTGCGAGCAGAAGATTGTCAAATCGAAGCGGGGTCAGCCAGGCCTCAGCAGTGGCTTGAGCGAGCGCAAGGCCAATCTGCGACAGACAAATAACATTGTCCAGGATATTGTGTCCTTCGAACCGATGATTCAGTCGGTGGCGTCCAAGGCCTCTGACCTGCAGCAAGGAGCCCCAGCCACAGAGATATCCGACAAGTACGAGAATCTCACAAAGCAAGCCAAGGATCTGTATGAGAAGCAGAAGACAACCATCGAGAGCTATCAGTCGCTGATCGATGCCGGCAATGACTTTGCCACATGGCTGCGCAATGCCAAGGAGCGGCTAAGCAAGTGCTCCGAGCCGACTGGCGATAAGCAGGCGCTCGCCGAGAAGACCCACCAGCTGAAGATTCTCCAGGGCGAAGTGCCCGAGGGTGCCCAAAAGCTGAAGAATGCCCTGGAGCAGGGTGAGATTGCCTGCCGCAGTGCAGAGCCCGAGGACTGTGAGATCATTGAGCAAGAGGTGGCCCTACTCCAAGAGGAATTCGATGCCTATGTGGAGGCCTTGAACAAGGCCAAGGACTACCTGGAGGTGGGCATTGTCAAGTGGTCCGACTACCAGGATCAGTACACCGAAGCTCTCGAGTGGCTGAGCAAGACAGAGGCTCTGGTACAGTCGTACAACAAGTTGCAGGACAGCCTCACACAAAAGAAGGTCGTCCTCGAACAGTTCCAGGGACATTTGCAGACCCTCTTCGATTGGCAGAAGACCCTCGATCATTTGAACATGAAGGCCCAAGTGCTGCTGGAGACCTGCTCCGATACGCGCATCAGCAATGCCATCATGCAACTGACGACCAAATACAATGCCCTGCTGACCCTCGCCAAGGAGGTGATGCGCCGCCTGGAGATGCACTACCAGGAGCATCAGCAGCATCACTCGCTCTACGAGGAGTGCCAGTCGTGGATCGAGAACACGCGCGAGAAGTTAGCCGACTGCGATCACATACCCAGCACTCTGAATGAAGTCCAAATCAAACTGAATACCGTCAAGAATCTCCGTCAAGGGTTCGAGACGGGTCAAAACAAGCTTCGGTATCTGCTGGAACTAAAGGAGAAGGTGATCATGAACACAGAACAGAATGGTGCAGCCAAGATCCAAGAGGACACCGAGTCCCTCAAGCAGGACTTTGACAAGCTGCTGGTGGATCTGAACGATGTGCGCCAGAAGTTGGCCAATCGTTTGGCCCAGCTGGAGGAGATCTTCAAGCTGTACAAAATCCTTGTCGAGTGGCTGGAAGAAGCAGAGCCCAGTGTCAAGGCCAGCGATGAGTATCTCAATGATTTGAGCGAGAAACGCGCGGCCCTGGAGAAATTCCGCGTCATCCAGCGGGATATCAATGGTCATAATGACATAGTAGAGAAGATCAATCTGCGTTTGCGCGAGGACAATAGTCTGGATGCCAACGACTTCCAGCCGGGTCTCAGCAAATTCGAGAATCTTCAAGCGGAGGTCAACAAGATCATAGAGTCACTGGAGAACCAGGTCAACAGCCACGAGAAGTACAAGCAGGCCTACAACGAGCTGCAGGATTGGCTGCGTCGCACTCGCATCGATGTAGAGCAGTGCGCCGATTGTCATGGCGAAAAGGATCAGGTTGAGAGTCGTCTCAATCGTTTGGGTGATATACAGGCCACATCCCTGGAGGGTAAATCCCTGCTGGATGCCTGCGAGGAGCTCAGTCGGGCGGTCATTGCCACCAGCGGCAGTGAGGGTCAGGATAATGTGGCCCAAGAGATCAAGCACTTGACTGGCGAATGGGAGACCCTACAGGCAATGTCGCGTGATGCGCGCAACAGTCTGGAGACCTGCCTCAACGCATGGCAGACCTTCCTTCAGAAGTTCAACAAAATCAATCTGTGGATCGAGACGATGAGCAAGCGCGTTACCAAATCCCAGGAAGCCGATAACAAAACCACCGAAGATTTGGTTAATGCCAAGGTAAGAAGAAGTCTTCACGTCTTCTCTCTGTCAAAAACAAGTCTCAAAAAACTGTCGCAAGCAACTGTCGCACGCTCCTCTAATTGTACTAAACCAAAATATATATATATGTATATTCGCGTGCACCCAAAAGTAGAGTTTCACCGATACACCGCCCAAAAATGTTGTATCAATCAAAATTAATCCATAGACTAAACCACTAATCAGTATTGCTAATCTTTCAGCTAATCACTATCTCTCACTATTGCAGCCTCTAATCATTTACACAGACTAATTGTCTAATGCCTAATATATGCTTTATGTGCTTTCCAATTTATTTGTATTCGATTGGACTAATAAAATCTTTGATTTCCCCCCATAGAAATTACTCGAGGAAGTGCTCGCTGAGAAGGACAATGTCGAGGATTTGAATGACAATTGTGAGCTCTTGATGGAGCAGAGTGCTTGCACACGGATACGCGATCAAACCATCGAAACGCAGGCCAATTACACAAAACTATTGACTTCTGCCCAGGGACTGGTGGCCAAGGTCGAGAAGAATCTGTCGGATCACACAGAGTTCCTCAACTACAAGAAGGAAATGGATGGTTGGATAGAGAAGGCACAGCAAGTGCTCAACGATTGCAGTACCGATGGTGATGCCTCCATTATTGCCCAAAAATTGGACACAGTCAATGTAAGTAATAGAGAAAACTTTTGGTGGGATATTATTTGTCCCAGATAAATCCCCGATATCCCAAAATCAGTCCCCATTTTCGATTAATGCTAGGTACAAACGATCATTTTAGTTTCTGTGATATCGCCTTCCGCTCACGTTTTTAAACGCTGAAAAATTGCACATTTCTATCATTTAGTTCACTTAAATTCGTACATTTTATAAGATGCAATACGGATCGGTTCAGCAATGCTGCCACAATTCGACTGACATGCAGAAGATTTCCTCGGTTATTCAGGCAGCATTCCGTATGCAAGTGACGTTACGTGCAGGAGATTTCATTGGTTATTTATGCGTAAATTCGTATGCCCGTCACGCTACATGCTGAAGGTTTTATCTGTTATATCAGGAAGATTCCTTTGAGCGTCACGCTACATGCAGAAGATTTAATCGGTTTTTTAGGTATAATTCCTTATGCGTGTCGCGTGACCTTGAATAATTTTTGAATGATCATCAAACATAAGGCAATTCCATCTTTGGACTTCCCCACTGATCTGGATGTATCTGTAATTTAAATAACAATCTTATATCGAATTTTTTCGATTACTTTCTTTTTTTTGAACCAGTCCCTGGCTTCTCGTCTGCCCGAGGGTCAGCATTTGTTGGCCTTGGTGCAGGATGCCTACTCAAAGGCGTCCAACATCACGCCCGAGGACAAGCAGGAGAAACTGCGCGAACTGATGACCAAAGTTCGCGAGGACTGGGATGCATTGGGCCTGGCTGTCAAGCAGAAGTTGAGCGACCTGAAGCAAGCCCAAAACCGTTGGAACGACTTTGCTGCCAACAAAGACAAACTGGACAAGTGGCTAAGCGAGACAGAGAAGACGTTGAAGGCGGCGCCGGAGACCAAGGGAGAGCTCAGCGAAATGAAGACACTGCTGGAGCGCTACAAGACGTTGAGCAATGAGCTGAAGCAGAAGGGCAACGATCTGGAGCAGTTGCAGTCGGAGGCCCGCGATTTAGGCACAGAAGTAGATGCCGTCAATCGTTTGCAGTCGCGTTGCGATAAGTTGAAGAACGATTGCTCGTCGCACATTAAGGCACTCGAGCAGGAGATGCTCGACTACAATGCGTACCATCAGAGTTTGCAGGATGTGGAGAAGTGGCTGCTGCAGATCTCCTTCCAGCTGATGGCCCATAATTCGCTGTTCATATCGAATCGCGAACAGACCCAGGAGCAGATCAAACAGCATGAGGCGTTGCTCTCCGAGATCCAGAAGTATCAGACCAATCTGGATGACCTGAATGCCAAGGGTCAGGCGCAGATCAAACGCTATGAATCCACCACTCCAGCCATCCGTCCCACGGTCGAGTCACAGCTGAGAAACATCCAGGACAGCTACAACTCCCTGCTGCAGACCTCAGTGCAGATCAAGAATCGTTTGCTCGAATCACTGGCAAAGTTCCAAGAGTACGAGGATACTCTCGACAGCATCATGCGGAATCTGGAGGCCTACGAGCCGATTATTCAGACCGAACTGGATGCCCCAGCGACCAGCCTGGAACTGGCCCAGAATCAACTGAGATGTGCCCAGGAAATGCAGCACAAGTTGAACAACGAAAAGTCACGACTGGCTGCCGCCGTTCAGGCCTGTGAAGCGGCCACTGCATCGATTAGTCGTCCCAGCTCTCCGCTGGAGACGGCCATGCAGGCCATACCCGAACGGGAATTGATTGTGCGCGCAAAGCTTGAAGATCTGCTGGATCAGGTAGGAATTCGGATGGAATCTAATTTGATGCTTGTCTGTAGTTTTTTGTTTATCTTTTTCTATTTAAGTGGCTATAATTTAAGGAAGCATTTTGTAGATTTGTTTACTACTAGACCACAGTTCCCTTGGTAGTACATTCAAAGTCGACGTTACAATTTGTGCCATTTTGGTAGACACAAATTACAGCTGATTTTCTTTATTTAAGTGGAACTATATTCCTACAAAAAATCGTATTACATTTATTTTTAATTTTTACGATAATATTGAATCGATTTTCGATCTAAATTAAATTAAAATCTAAAATGAAATCATTTAAAATGCACATTAATTAAGTAACGGCATGCAACATGCTAAATACTTAAGTATTTAATTGTGTAAAATCCCTCTACACCCGTGACAATGTTTCCTTCTTGTGTCATCTGTCCGTTCGCTTCGTGGCGGTATCATTCGTAAGCGAATGTATCCGTTCTATTATGTGAAACATAAGCACCGTTCTGTGCCATATTTATGGGATATTTATACATTGAATAAACATCATTCGACGAATGTTCTGCCAATGGAACAGTGGTAGTTGCATTCTAATAACGTTCTAGAGAAATTTCACTTATTTTCCATTTGATTTTATTTGCTAACCAATGTTTTTTTTTTTTTCTAATTTAACCCCTTAACATCCCCCAAAAAACACAACCCAACACTGCTCTAACTTTTGTTTGATTTGCTGCACAACCAACCCAACCACAATCCAACCCGTAATTGTTGTATAAATGCACTACCAAAAACCAATGCTCGAAATCTGCCTATTGCCTATGCTATTGCTTCCGAAAAAAGCAACCGCCGCAAAAGACTCGGAGCTCAACGGACGATATCGATGATAGAGATGATGATGAAGATGATGTTGAGATCCAAGTTGAGCTTAGCGATGTCCATGAGGCGCGTTTGGATCCGATTGCTCATGAGCGTGTCAGCAACTATCGTCGCATAGTTCGCCTGAATAGTGCCCATGTGAGCAAGCTGCAAGAACTCGTCGCCAAGGTAAGCCACAGATCCACAAATCTGGAACCAAATCCTGATGCGGTGGCGGTGGCAGCATGTCTCTTAATTATATTAAATGCTTGTTTTGTTCAAAGTAAAACTCCAATTAATTTCCAAAGAAACTGTGGATAACTAACAAAAAAAAATGTATTATGGTATTGTTTAGGTGCAATCCCATTTGGGTGGTTTGACTGCATCCGTTGGCGAATTGGAGCAACAGCAGAAGCAGCGCGCCGAGCTACAGGATTGGGTTAAGAAGCAACAGAGCTCTGTATCCGACTGGTCGATGCGTCCCAGCAAACTCCGTCCCGAGGCGGCACAGCAGGAGCTTGTGGCCATGAATGATCTACTGAATTCCATTGGCGATAAACGTTCTCAACTGATGCTGGAAATGACTGGATCATGTGAGTGCCAAGCGAAAGAGAATATAAATATTTTATGTAACTAATTTTTTGTATAATTTTTAGTGGGCGATGAGGACACAGATTTGGATGACAATATCGACAAACTGGAATCAGAGTTAATGGATGCCATTGCCAAGAAGCAGGCGGGACAGAATGTCATCGATGGCTATCGCCAGGGCATGCAGGATGTCCAAAATTGGTTCGACACTCTCATTAAGCGCATGGATGTCCTTGATCGCGGCTCTGGCCTCAACTGTGCACAGAAGACGGCCGCCATTAATGAGATCAAAAACGAATACGAGCTCCAGGGTCATCCCAAGATCCAAGAGCTGAAGGGCAAGGCCGCACAGGTGGCAGAGGTTATCAGCAATCTGGATGGCCAGCAGGTGGAGGAGCAAATGAAATCGCTGGATCGTCGCTTTGCCGATCTCGGCAAGCGTATTGATCGCAAGGCCCAGCTCCTGGATGTCACCAACAAGGGTGTGGATGGAGCCAAGGGTGAGATTGATCAGCTCCAGAATTGGGTGAAGCAACAAATCGACGAACTGCAGGCACCCACTCCGCTGGGATACACGCCCAAGGATGCCGAGGCGCGTCAGCAGAAGATCAAGAGCCTGATGAAGGATGCCGAGGCAAAGCAATCACTGGCCGATGTCCTGGAGAAGCGCATAGCCAACATGCAGCCCGAATTGGAGCCAGCAGAGTACTCTCAGCTGGAGTCTGCTTTGCGGAACCTCAACACGGAGAATCGTAATCTGTCAGGCGTACTGAAGGCCGAACTAGATCGCGCTCTGGAGGCAAGCAAAGCACGCAAGGCTTTGGAGAACGATCTGGACAAGGCACGTCAATGGCTCAAGACAAAGATATCGGAGGTGCGCAAGCTGCCCGTCTATCATCCATTGACCTCTGCAGAGATTGAGAAGAAACTGCAGGAGAACAAAAAGTACGACGATGATGCCAAACAGTTCAACGACAGTGTACTCAGCGATGTCCAACGCCAGGCGGCAAATATCATGAAGGATTGCGATGATGGCGACAAGGCTGCCCTGCAGCAGATCCTCGACGAAATAGCCGCCGACTATCAGACCCTGAAGGATGAGGGCAACAAGAGAGGCAAATCTTTGGATGATCTACTCCAGGGACGCAAGGCCTTCGAGGACTCAATGAAGAAGATGGGCGACTGGTTGAATGAAATGGAAACTGCCACCGAAGGGGAGCTAAGAACCACAAGTTTGCCTGTACTGGAAGAGCAGCTGGCGCACTACAAGAAGCTGCTACAGAATGCCGAGAATATGGGCGGCCTTTGCAACGATGTGTCCGAGCAGGGCAAGAGTATTCTGCCTACCCTCAGCAATGCGGATAAGCTAAAGCTCAATGACGACATTAAGAACATGAAGGATCGCTATGGACGTGTAAAGAACACCATCGATGACAGGGTTAATGCCTTGGGCGATCACATCAAGAAGTACAAGGATGCCAAGAGTCGGTTGGCCGATTGCAGTCAGTTCTTGGGCACCATTCAGCAGCGTATGCGTGAGCTGAATCGTCCGATTGGCTCAAGGATTGAGGATGTCCAAGATCTGTTGGGTGCCTATGAGGGTATACTGAAGGAACTCAAGGACAGCAAGAGCAAGATGGGTGACATGCAGATCGATGATCTGCCTGAATTGCAGAGCATTTTGGCCCAACAGGATGATATGATCAAACTGATTGAAGATCAATTGGCCCATCTCCGGCAGCTACTGTTGCTCCGCGAACAGTTTATTGCTTTGATCAATGAGATCATAGCCTTTATCATGAAGTACACCGATGTGATCATTGACATTGAGAACTCCCCCGACAGCCTGGAGGATAAGATCAACAAGTACGACGATGTGATTGTCAAGATTCAAGAGTGCGAGGGTGTCCTGGCCTCGGCCAATGACAAGGGCCAGAAGATCGCCTCTGAGGGCAATGCAGCGGACAAGAACAGCATCACCGAGCAGCTGCAATCTCTGAAAAATCAATTGCAAAATCTCCGGAAGGCCGTGGAATCGCAGCGACAGAAGCATCAGCTTCAGCTGGAATCCCACAAGAAGATGGGCGCCGAATTGAGCGAGATTCTCGATTGGCTGCACAGCCATGAAGGCGCGGCCAAATCCCGTCCGCTGCTCGATCGCGATCCCGAGTCGGTGGAGCGTGAGCTGCAAAAACACCAGAGCCTCAGCCAGGACATTGACGCCCATCTGAATAAATTCAACAAGATCAACGATGGCGTGAAAACGGAAATCGGAATGCCCAGCTCCCTGCTGGAAATGCTTTCCGAGGGTCGTTCCCTGGTGGCCTCCCTGCCTCACGAGCTCGAGGAGCGCGAGAAGTATCTGAAGAACAACCGCGACTCCCGGCTGGAGTACATGCAACTGGTGGCCAAATTCAACGACTGGGTCCACGAGGCTGAGCTGCGGCTGCAGAACAGCCAGCATGGCATCGACTATGAGCATCTGGTCCATGACCTGGACGAGCACAAGATCTTCTTTGGCAACGAGGCACCCATACGCAATCTGGTGCACAAGCAGATCCAAGAGGCTGCCGACAAGATCTGGTCGTCGCTCAACAACTACGAACAGTCGGAGTTATCCTCCGAATTGGCCCAGTTCCAGAACAAACTGACCAACACCCTGGCCAATGCCAAGACCCAGCAGAGCGAACTGGAGCAGGAGGCCGAACGCTGGCGCGAATATAAGCAATCGATTGATCGCGTCAAGGCCACCATTGAGCGCACCAAATTCAGCGATGAACCCGTCCAGAATCTGGCCGGAGTGCACTTTAACATACAGAAGCTGTCGCATGCCATTGGCAATGTTCAAGTGAGTGACTATAATTTAAAGATACCAACCATACTTCGAACGGGTTATACCTAAACACAGATCTACAGTTAAAATACTTTCCATAGATACTTTGTGTGAGTGGATCGAATGAGAGAATAGCCTTTCATAACTCTTCATAGAATTGGTATGCAGAAACGACAAAGAATTTCATACTTTATAAAGCTTGTTCTTACTCCCAACTGGACATGATGCTTGAAATCGAAACACACAAGCGAATGCTAAGAAAGGAAAATGCCCAAAAATCGAAAAAATAAAGTTACTCGAATTCCGTTTATAAAAGTTTTTTTTTTATTGATTCATACAATTTATAATCATACTTAAATCGGTATACATTGAGGCACAGACTGTCTGTCTTTTGGCTCGGAGGAATGCCAAAGATTCTTATGGTCTTACATTTATTTAGCTAACATTTAAGTAGATCCTTGGCCAAAGGCAGTTTATCCGTCGAATTCCACAAATATGATTCCTCTGAAACAATTTTTGGTAGTATATTCCAAACTAACTTTACAAGTTTGTCAAGGAATATGTCTGTGTGTCTTACTGATCAAGTTTTTATGGTATTTCCATGAAAAAAAAGCTTCACATCGCGCCTGGTACGTGATTGGCACATACATATGATTATGTTCCATAACTATCATACGATTGGGATGAACACATGATGCTTCTCTTTATTGCCAGCCTACACGCCTATTTCGTTGGCTTAAATATTTCCAAACATTGTTTGTAACAAGATCTTTCAGTTAGAGGAGTATCATAGTTGGGTTTATTTAAATGAAACGTTTTAGTAGGCACAAATTTAAATATTTCTCGAATTAAATGCACACTTATGTATACATACTTACATCTCCATATGTACATACTATACATATGACCATACCCATGCACATTCAGCTTGCAGCTTGCACATTTGGGTGCATATATGTGCATAAGTGCATACATATGTACATACCTACATATACCATAGCTGAAAGACCTGTTTTCCAAAAACACAAAACCAAAAAAAATGACACATTGCCCAAGGATGTGCCACAAACAGAGGCATACACGCACATACTCCCGTACTCGTACTCGTGCTCGTGCAAATGCAACGCCTTAAGAGAGAGAGCGAGAGAGAGAGAATAAATATGTATGAAATTGTCATTTAGCCGCATCCAAATCGATTGCATTCTCATTGCAACTTGATTTGCCGGCCGGCAAAAGCTCTCCTCCACTCACTTTCCATTACATTTTCCCTCCTATCTTCCTCGTTGTCTCTATTTTCGTCAGTCTCTCTTAGTGTGTTTGGCCCTCTCTTTTTCCCTCAGTCTGGCGGTGTCAGATGATAATAGTGTTTTATTGAACGCGCCCCGACCCGAGTCCATTTGTTTACTTTCGTAAGCGCCTGCTGTTACCTTGAGAACTCATTAAACTTTTAACCTACTCGTCGGTCGTTGGTCGTCGCTACATTCGAGTGTATTCGTACATATATATATTGAGAGCTTATCGTCAACGGACGGTTCGGTCTGTCAAACTTTTGGTTTGATTATTCGAGGCACAACCAAGCCTCGTCCAAATTTAATGCTCAGTTTCGAAACGAAAAAAAAAAAAAAAAAACAGCTGTTGTTTTTGTTGCTGTTGCTCTGAGTGCGGAACGTATTAAGCCCCATGACATCATCAGAGCAGAGCACGCTGGTTGGGTTGGCAGAAGCACTTTATAAAGCAACCAGTTTTTAGCCAGGGATGGTCATGTCCCATGTCTCCTCCTCTCTCAGTAAATGTCCATATATTGGTATAAACTTTAATGAAATGATTTATTCATGTCTACTTTTTGTAGTAAATCTAAAAATAGAATTTCCATTTTTCTATGGAAATTAATTGATAACTTTGACCTCTATGTAAATAAGAGATGAACTTCTGTGCCTCAAAGTTTATAGAATTAAAATCTTTTGTAACTAAAACTATTTTAGTTGGAATCTTCTGTAGCTTGAACTATTTTCTATGGAATCTTTTGTAGCTAAAACTGAGTTTAGTGATAATTGCGTTTATTTTACAGTTTTCGTTTCAAGTTGTAGGAAAAACTTTTACAATAAGGCTTACATTTGACTGTTTGATTGAATTTACTATATGTACCATTTTGGGTTATAACTCGAATATTCTTTCAACTCGAAATCATTTTCCCGACTTATTAAAGAAATAGATTTTTTCATAAATATAAATCATAATCCATAGATCAATTATACTAAACATTTCGTGAATTTTTCATCCCTGGTGTTACCAAGAGCTGTGCCCGACACTGTAACAAAGCAACAAAAACACATGTTAGGTAGCTTTTTTTTCGTTTCTTTTTTCTGTTAGCTGAGCGAGCTTTAAGAGCGTTCTCTTTGCTCTTCGCTTACAGCTGTTATGCTGTTGTTGTTTCTGTTACTTTGTGGGGCAGGCATGCAAGCCATGCCGGTTGAGAGAATCTCTTGAAGCTTTGAGAGGCATTTCAATTGAAGGTTTCGAGGTTTTTTTGAGTGCCTGGTGGCGTATGCGTTATATATGTAGATGTTAGTTCCTCAACGCCCACGCCCACCCAAAAATATATATGTATATATATGAAAGTGTATATATATGTATATATTTGTAAGCTTTGATATGCTGCCAAAGTGGTGCCGCAAAAAAACGTGTTTCGAGCGTTGTGACCGGCTTTTTTTGCGCTCTTTAGCCGTGCTCTTTTGTTGGGAAAGTCCTCTCTTGGTGGCGTCTCGCGCTCTCCAGTTCTAATTCGTGCTTGTGGTTGGGGTTTTTTGAGTTCTGTTTCGTTCGTTTCACTTCAATTTGAGACGTTTATCTGTGCGGTTGTTTTGTATTCGCGATTTCCTCAGAGGCATATACAAAAATATATACAAACGAGTACATACCACGTATAGAAAGAGAGACGACGACGACGACAGACACGTCTAGAAGAGAAAAGATTACGTTATTTGTTATATTTGGAATTACTCGTTTCGTTCTAATGCAAAAAAATGCCATGTGCTTAAAACGCGCAAATTGAAATTGAAATTGAAAGAAGAAAAAATAACACAAATAAACAAAAAGTAGATAGACATCAATATCGTATTCAAAGGCTAACGTCATCCTACAGCCATTCGAATCGAATCTATAATCCAAAAGAACTAAAAAGAAAAAAAAAAACAAAACCAAGAGGAAGCTACATTTGAGGTTTGTGTACGTGTCCGTGTGTTGTGTGTGTGTGTAAAAGTATCTATGGAAAAAATGCTGCAGGGATAGCAGGCTGTTTGCCCCTGTAACACCCCCCCTGGAAAACCAGAGACATATGTCAGGGTTCAAATATATATTTAAACATTATACAAGAGAAATCTTTCAAGTGAATACAAAATATTCAGAAAAATATACAAAATAATACAATAAATATTTATATATTTATATAAACATATACTGAAGATTCTGTGGTTACGTCACACTCGCACTACCCCATACCCATATACCATAAAATACCCATACTCGTAGCACTCTGAATATTAACCGCCGCGTGTGTGTGCCCTACCATATACTCGTATTTTTCACAGAGTCAAAGCAGCGACCTTTCTCTGGTGAACCAACAGTCGCAGGCCCTCATACGCCAGGCCGACGCACGCAATCGTCAATTGATTGAGAAGGATAACGGTGACCTGAATCGTTTGTGGCAGGAACTGGTACGCAGCCTCGAACAGCGTCGCGATAATCTGCAACAGTTGGCCGAGCATTGGGATAGCTTCGAGAACAGCTTGCACGGCTGGGAGAAGGCATTAGGTCGACTAGAGGATAAATTCCGCAATGTCGATCCAACTGTAAGATCCCGACGTCATTTGGAAGATACAAAGAATGCCATTCAGGTGAGTTCTCTTTTTTTTAAACTATATAATTAACTATTTTGAATAATACGGTGGGATGAAAAGTTTTGAAAGTATATATAAATATAATAATATATAATCCTAGAACTGCATGAGTTGTTGAATAGTTATAGCCAGCTAAATATATATAGACATACATTTTTTAATGTTTGCCAGTCATCAGATCAGCGCCAACTTTTAGGCAATGTTAAATTTTTTGGAAAGTTTTAATCGGTTAAACAACAAGTGATAGTGAATAGTTAAACTTAAAGTTCACTTTTTTCTTTATTTTTTTATTAAATTGGTTCATAGTAATGATACTCTCAGCCTCACATAAATCCTCTTTAAAATATATGCTCCTAATCGTTGTCTTACTATGTAGGGTATTTAAATATCGGTGTGTCCAAGTTTAATTAATTTCCTTACTGCTGTTTAAGGTCACAAGTAAATTTACATGCCATTCCATTCCATTCCATACATATTTGTATGTATGATGATGCGATTTATTCATTTACGCCCCGTTCCCCTTTGGCTTTGCGCTCGTAAAATATTTTTACCAATGTAAAGACATAACAAAAAAATACATACCCAAGTTTACATATTATATGTTGATAGATATAGATACATATGTGTGTGTACGTATGGTATGTATGTATGTAACATGTTTTGTATATGTATCAAAACCATGCCGACATCAAGTTCATGGTCACGTTGTTGTGGAGGGACTGGACCGAAAGAGCTTCCGCTCTCTTATTTGCTGCTCTCTCTCTCTCTCTGTGTGGTCTCTCACCACCCAGCCGGTGCCACTCTCTCTCATCTTGAGTTGAGCTTCACAAAACTAAAGCTATAAAGCAGCTGATTTCGGCCATGTCCAATTATGTCAAAAAAAATCTATTAATGAGGCTGTTGTAATTAAGGGAAAAGGAGAATAAAACTAAACAAAACAAAAAAGAACTACTAATACTTTCAGTTTTGTTAGACTTTGTTTTTTTTTTAATTTTCAATGGAATCGTCTTATGATAGTGACTTATATAAGATTTGATAGCTAGAAGCTTGCTCTACGACGACTGTTTATACATTTTTAATGCTAATTTAAATGTAATTTCAATAGTCCCAAGGTGCTATTAAGTTGTACAATATTATTTATTACTAATTGGTATCAATAATGGATTTTAGTATTAGTATCATTATTTATTTATTATTTATTAGTATCAATAATGTATTTTTTTTTTATTTCTAATCAGCTAATTTGAATTAGTTTCTGGTGTAAGATGAGCTCATTGTTTTGAGGCGGTAATTGCACAAAATAGTACTACTATCAATAGATAGGCCACTTGTACATACATACATATATCAGCCAGTATGTACATACACATATAGCGCAGTCTTTTCAAATCACATTTCAATTGAAGCAATTTGCAGCCATAAAAGAGAGACGGTTACCCTCCCCACCAACCCTCCTTATCGATCTAACGATGTTGTCATACAAGCGCCATATACAGTGCCGATACCTGGGCGATAAAACAACCCACAAAAATACACCAAAACTATTCGTATAAGACCTCCCCAGCACAAAAAAGATAAACAATGACGAAAAATAAGTAAAGGTGTTTGGTTTTTTTTGTCTATCCAAAAAAGAGACTATAAATGTGATTTATTTGTTTTATTCTTTTGTTGTTGTATCATTAGTTCTTCGTTTTTTTTTTAACCAAAAAAGCTTTAGAGTCAAGTCAACAAATTAATTTTTCTCATTTAATCTTTAATGTTGACCTTCTCGAAAAAAAAACTGGAATTGAAAACGAAATTGAGAGTGAAATAAAAAAAACAAGAAAATACTGCTACAATATGGAACGTGTGTTCAGGTTTTTGGTTGGATAGCAACAAAAAAGAGCAATAAGAGAGCTTTCCCTTCATTACATTTTTTCATTTATTTGTTAATTAACCTTAATTAATATTAATTGAAATTCTTGAGCTATTCGCACATTTTAATTAATAAATTTTCTTCGTTTTCACATAGGAATTACGTGAAGAATCAAATCAACTTAAATCATCACATAAAGAAATCGAGACTCTCTCAAAATCCATCCTCACATTCCTTGGGGAAGTACACAAACCCTCGGCGGAGGCCATACAGGCCAAAGTGGATAAGTTAGTTGAACAGCAGGCCATGTAAGTACATCCCAAACTATTCCTAGTTATATTTTTAGCACCCATTTTACGTACAACGTGTGTTAAACTATGCGTGACAACAAAAACAAAATTAAACTTTTTGTTCTCTGTTTGAACGAAAACGTTTAGGCCCGGAAATTGAATTGGCTTGCTGCATACATTAGGGTACCACACAAACAAACACACAAAAAAACTTGTTGCCTAATGAAAATGAATGTGGAATTCAAAGCGAATTCAACAGGTTATTTGGTTGATCATTTATATATGCAATCAAAGGTACCTTTAACAGGTTTTAGATACGAATTAATGCCCCATATATCAATGTATCCAGCAGATTTCAAGACTATATGAATTTCGAACCCCGACAAAGAGCTGAAAATCAAAAGAAAGAATCTGTGATTTATATTAGCTTAAAAAGCTATATTTATATTTTTAGGATTGTTTTACACCCTTTTTTATAATCTACTGTTACTTTATAGGGCTACAGCATTTATACTCATTGCTTAAGTGCTTAAAGAACTGTTTGAAGAACTTTATCTTAAGACCGCGTTTTCTTTTTTCGAATATCTCTACTGTGGCGTTTTTACTTTGTTTTTTTTTTTCAACAATAATAAGAAGTACTTACTGTTCTCTCTGCCTTCTGGCTTAATCTTAATTTTCTTTAGTTTCACTCGTAGTTAGTGGATTCGTCAAGCCCTCTAAATTTGTTGCTATTGTTGTTGCTCAACAGACGCTAACTGACGTCAGACCTAACCAACTGTTACGCTTCGCAAGTGCCTTCGACAAGACGAGACAAGTGAGGAGGGGGGGGTCTCTCATCTGAGCATTACGTAAGCCAGAGTTTATAAATGGCTCCGCTTCTCCTCTTACGCTACCTATCTCTTTCCTTCTGGAACAGTCAGTTGAAAGAAAGAACCTCAAGTTTACGAGTAATATCTCGTAGTTCTAGGAATAGAAAACTCAAAGAGAAAATTCTGTTATTTTTCTGGACATATTTTTTTTTTCATTTGACAGGGGATATCCCGTTCTTAACTAGAAACTGTGCCAAAGCTCTTCGGTCTTATCAAAGGCGATATGAAAGACCTATCTGTATATATATATATATTAAATACTACAAGTACGAGTATTTTATTTGACGCTTCCCGCTTGGTTTACTTTTGATAAGAGAGTGGACGGGGACCCCACAATCAAAAGACAACAATTCTTTTGCTTTACTTTTTGCGGAAATACTCGTATTCGTACGTTTATAAATAAATGTATAGATTTATTCTTCATTTGTTCTGTTCTGTTGTTCTTTTAATGCCCCGGCGCTTGAACAAATTAAGTATTGTGCCAATTCCTGTTTCTATATATATTTTCTTTGCTAATATCATTGCTAATTTAACAGTTGTTGTGTGTCTGTGTGGTGACCATCACGTGCTAAGAGATACAGACAGCCAATGCAACATGTTGCCAGAAACATGTACAAAATTTACCCTTCCATACGTCTCTCAGATCACGTATACCATACCCCGCCTCCTCCTATCGTTCTTGTTTGGCTTTCTCCGTTGACGAGGGGGACCCCCGCCTTTGGCCTTTTCTTTTAATGCAGCCACTGACACAATTTTCTATTTCCCCAAAATGTGTTTATGTTGTTATATTTCTGTTTGGTTTTTTTTCAGTTTTATTTTTATACAAAAATGTTGTTGGGTTTTCTTTGACAGCAGAGTTGCTGCCTGAAAAACGAGAGCAGCAGCTGTTGCTATACATTTTCCTCGCATTTTTTCGGAACAAGCCGCAATATGCGTACGTTTGGCTGTGGCTTAAACGGTGGGATAGACACATGTTATGACTGCTTTTTGTGGTCTGGTGACGGTGCAATTGTCATATAAATGATCTAATGGAGGATCTGGTTTACATAAAAGTTGTTGCGGAGGAAAGGGTTCTAGGGTTCTAAGTTTTTTTCTGGTATTAATGTGGACATTGACGACGATATTTATCTCTTGATTTGTTGTCCCTCTTTAATTTTTCACATGATATATTACAAAATTATTTAAAAAGTGAAACTTTCCCCTTGTACAAACTATATCAAAAATGCATTAATTATAAGAAAATTTTCCTCCCAAAATTGGTTATGTATAGAAAATTATTAACATATATACATATGTACACATATAAAATGGAATTTAAGAACAAAAATAGGTTTTAAGGTGATAATTTTACTTTCCCTTAAACGGCAGCGTTCCCAATGTTTTTGTTTTGTTGGTATTAATAGTACGACAAATTTCCATATTTTATGAGATAATAATTTCCCATTGATCTATTTCCCTCGAAAATGTCTTCCTTTAATTGTTTTCATATCCAAAAATGAACCAAAATGAGAACTATGCCATCATCACAGCCGAAAAGAATGATCTAATATGCCTCCAAGGCATGCCGGTTGTCATCGATAATTATATAGTCGGACGGAGGAGATACAATATATATCTACGAGTATATTATGTATCCTTAAAATGCGACGCATTTGAACATTTCAATGCACTTACACACTTGAGATTTAAATACATTTTTTCGTCGGGAACATGCGAGAATCTAATCAACGAAAAAGACATTAAATATTGCGTAAGACTTTTTTTTCGGTTGGAATTATAATAATTTATTTATAAATATTTTGCAGTTGAGATTTGTAGGAAAGATATGGGAATTAACTTCATTAGCGAATATTTCGAACGATTTGCTACTGAGAAAAACAGAGAGAGAGAGAGAGAGAGAGAGAACAGACATTTTTAAAATACAAACAGCAAAGGAAATGTGCTAGAAAATAAATAAAAAACAAATTGAGCAAAAATGTAAACAGCAGCAGCCACACAGAAATCATAAAAAATTAAGTAAATAATACTTGTCGAACGTCAAAAGAGAGGAGTGAAATTTTTGGATACACTGCCAGCAAAAGATTGTGTATCTTTTCAAAAGAAGTTTGCGATAAAGAAGAAGATTGTACTATCCAAACGAATACAACGAGTATGTACATATACTAATTTTCAGTATGTTTACTTTGATCTCATGATCTTCATCTTGATCATCTTTTCTGTCAATCGCTTTTTTTAAACACTTTGTATGGCCTATTTCTTTGAAGATATTTGGCTTGATTATCTGGAATATATATTATTTAAATAAGTATTTTAACTAATTATAATTACATTCCAACCAAAAGTTCAAAACGGTATTTCCACAGATTCTCCCATAACTTTTTCGAATTATAACCAAAACTATACAATTATCAAAAAAAAAATTGATCTGCCTAAATATCCATCTTTGTAGAATTTAAAAATTCGATCATGATCGTGTAACAACTTTATCATATAGAAACGATCATTATGGAAGGGTATTTGAGATTCCTCCCTTTACTGTTTTTTGTTTTTGCTTAACTTTTGCCGCTGACTTCATCGATGAGCAATAAGCAATGAATGAAGCAAAAGCGTGAACAATATTCAAGTGCATCAAATTATACAATTTCTTTTCAATTGAATCAAAACAAAACTATAGCTGAATCATACATACATACATATATGGAAAACCTTATCAGCTAAACGGACGGTAATCCAATGTGAACTAAAACCTTTCAAAGCCCCTAAAATCAAACTGTATCTGAGATTCGCATATGCATTTGCATTAACAATTTGTCATTTTGGCAAAGGTAAAAAAAGAGAAACCTAAGACAACAACAAAATAATAATAATAAAAAATTCTACCCAAATGAGGTAATCGGGTAATTATAAATTTATTTCAGACGGCATTCCCCTCGAACTACAGTGCACTGTAAGCACGTTAACATTGCTTTAACAGTATGTATAGGAGTGCTGTTCCGTTTCAATTCCAAAGCGTTTCTCTCTCTCTCTGCGTGTGCATGGAAGATTGTGTGCGCGCTCTCTTATTTATCTCTCTCTCTCTTTTTATCTCTGGTGTTATTTTATAGCCGGCTTTTCTTATCTTTAAGAACCGGCAAAATGCCATTAAAGCTTTATCAAAATATGTAACAACATTTTATGCACTTTATTGTGGGAGCTATTTGGAGAGATTTTATTATATCAACAGCGGCAGCAGCAGCAAAAATTATTAATGAGTACATTTCAATGCCAAGCGCATATAATATATTTTTTTTAGTGCTAACCATTCTCTTCTGCTCTCGTCTCCTCCTCTTCCTCTCTCATATCTTTTGGTATGCGTAAGTGTGGTGAAATTTGTTTCGTTCTTTTTATTTCCGTCTCGCGTTCGCTCGCTCTCGTGCGCTGCGCGCTGTTAACGATCGCTTGAGCGACAGCCTCGACCCGACAACTTTTGGCAATTTTCGTGTGGCCGCAACAATATCTGAAATCAGTTTTTATTTAGAGTTAGTTGCAAGCGGACGTGTGTTTCCATTTAACTGGATGGCTGGAAACTATCAAAAGAGCACAATCGAACGAATACGCATATATTTAAATCAAATTAAATTTAAAAGTAGTAAAACCAGAGAAGCAGCAAAATACTAGCAGGCGGCCCAACAAAAGAGAGATGTATTAAAAGCAAAAAAAAAAAAATGGAATTCCTTTCGAGCCAAGGGCTCACTAAATAACAATTTTTCTTTTCCATTTCATGGTCAATTCTTTCTGATGCAGTTTCTGAACGACGCCGCTTTGTGGATTACCAGGCGTATACGTAATTCAGAAAGATAGAAAGAGATTTTTATTTAGCAGCAAACTGCTTTCTTTTCACTCGTGGTTTGTTAGTGGAAATTAAGAAGAGCTAGACGGAGGAGAGGCTCTTGTTGGGCACACGTCTGCCTCCGGGCCAAAGGAGGTGCGACAGTAGTCGCCAACAGAACGACACAAACGAAGCCAAAGGCCAAAAGACAGAAGCGCCTCAGCAGACAAAATAAACGACGGGAGCCAAACTAATTGCCCAGACAAAAAGAAAAACAACTAAACGCACTTCTAGTTAACGTCGTCAAAAGCAAGAGGTGATAAAAAAATAACACAACCGAAAATTTAAGCCTAAGCCAGAAACGTTTCCAAGACAAGACCCGATTAAGTCATCGTTTCAGTCAGAGAGAGAGAGAGATAGGCTCTCCTGTGGTCATATGCAAAACAGCAGCAGAAAACAATATATTTTTTTAATACCGGGGTCTTTCGTACTCGTATTCGCGAATCAGAGACCTCTAACAGACCCGGTACCTGTCCAGGGTCGTCAGGTGTTTTGTTTAGAGAGGGAGAGAGAAAAACATTGAAAGAGAGGCATGGGGGGAGAGCATATGATTCGCACGCGTTTCTACTTTAAACGATGACGTAGTCGCTGGTGACAGAAATACCCTAAACCCTGTCGAACGAATCGAATGCCGCTTATCGTCTCTTGCTTCCACGTCTGATTACACATTCCTCGTATGGCAGGCAACAGTAGCAGCAGCTACTATAATTGATTCAGAAATTACTTATGGCTTCAATATGCCATTTTCTCGATTCACAAAACAAATCTCTGAGGCGGCATACTCGCACGCCTTTCACTTTCATTCACTTCTGCTCTGAATGTGTGTGTGTGTATTGGCATTTCTCAAATATTTTGCCATTTAAATTAAAGCCGTGCACTAAATTTAAATTCGTTAATTTGTACAAAATGGCAGACCCGAACTGAAAATAGCTGAAAAACTAGAGGGGAAATATTTTTCTTTCATTCTTATTTATTTCGGTATTTTTTTTGTCTTGTTTATACGCTTGCCAGGTATAGGATATTGTGACTTTGAGGAGATGTTTGTTATGGATTGGAGGATGTATTTCAGGGGCAAGAAAGTGATATTAATTATACAAAGTCTGAAAGCCTTTTGTTCACAGAACTTTCTTGTTGCTAAACGCAGAATTCTAAACCGGAAACGATAACAACGGAACACTTTATCAATGTCATAATGTGTGTACGTAGGAAGTAAAAGAAAACAAACGTTGTAAAATCAAGTCTTTCTGATAGGAATCCCATTTCTGGTCAGATAAGGGTATCCAAAGCTCTTGCTTCCATTTTTTTTTTCATTTTTGATCTTTGATTTTTCGTGTGAAATGAAAACCCAAACAACATTGAGAATTTTTCGTATTCCGATTTTAGTGAGACTGGCGAAAAATGACGCCGAAATGATTTCTTCTAGTTTATAATACACTCGCTTCGTATTGTAGCCCCCGTATATCCGTTGGCAGTTTTTCGTTCTTTCTTTCTTTTTTTTTTTCTTTAACAATTAATTTTAAAATGTTTCGGCCGACTTTTGTGGGTCTGTGTTGTTGGCCGAGTGCCAAATGTGTGTTGACTTGGCCTCCTCATCTCATCTCATTTTTTCTTTTGGGACCATGCCTGTAAAGGGCAATAAACGGTTTCATTAACCATGCTTCAGGGCCTTGCTCAAAAGAAGACTAGCCGGCGGCGGCGGCATAAATCTTTCAATAATTCGCTTATTCAATTCAAAGTCGGGTGCTCCCAAGGCGTATGCGTGATGTGCGTCATGTGCTGGAAATACTTAACCAGAAATCGAACATGAATATGCAAAAATTGTAGAAGATTCGTGGCCATTGATTCATCTGGCAGTTGCGCTCTCCTTCTCTATTTTTTTACTTTTTTTTTTTTGGTACGTTGCAACGCCCCAATGACGTCAGACAATGACTGAAATGCATAAGCCACACACAGAAATATACACAAAAATACAAAAATATACGACGAATATACAAAATTAAACATGTGCCGCCATTAAAAATACACACAAGCTAAAAATTCACATAACTAAAAACAGGAACAAAAAAAAGAAGAAACTACAAAATTTTAAAAGTTGTGCGTGTCCCCCATAAAACAATTTTATCTAAAAGAGACATATTAAATCTCTCTCTCTTGGTGATCTATTGAGATCTTTCTGTACTCTTTTTGGGCCTTTAAATCATTTTTGAGAGATCTTTCCTCTCATTTCTGCTCTCTTTTTCGTTGACTCTCAATGGGCTCAAGGCAATTTCGAATTATGAGCAATTTTCGAAATTCGAATAGCCGAGATCCCCTGGGTCTGGGGGTCTGTGAAAATGTGCTTGTGGGATTTTTCTTCATTAAGAAAACTCTCTTGTAGCCAACCGGCAGCATTAATTTTCACGGAAATCTTCGCAGAAGAAACCTCGAGGCCATAGAACAACGGATAATACATATAAATATCTTGAAAAACTTCAGAATTGTGTTTCAGAACGAGAACATCTAAAGAGATTCCAATATACATACATATATACACGTATTGTGTTGTGTTGGAGAAGACACGCGCTGAACAATTCTATCTATACAACAGAAGGCAGAACCGCGTGGTTTTTATACAGTCACACGACCAGCACCATTTTGTAGTCCATGCCATTGAATAATACGACCCTGAACATTGTTCTCTATTCATTTTCAGATTGAACGACACCCTACGCGAGAAGGAGCAACAGGTTAGCCAGGATCTCGACGAGATCGAGCAAGTCTTCCGTCGCATTTCGCAGCTGCAGGACAAGTTGAACGCCTTGAACGAGCAACTGCAATCAATACACGTCTACGACGAGCATATTGCCCAAACAGAACAGGCCCTGATCACCCTCAACAGCCAAGTACAACAGGCGGCCGAGGAGAGTCGTTTGCTGGTTAGCCAGACAACGGCCAAATATCAGGCCAAACAGAATCTACTGCCCAGCGACATTGCCCAGGAGTTTACGGCTCTTGAGCTGCTTTCGGAACGTGTACAGGTGACCATGGAGACCAAAGAGAAGGATTTCAAGCGTGCCAAGACCGTGCGCACCGAGTATGTGGCCGGTGTGGATGAGATTCAGCGCTGGCTGCTGCAGGCCGAAGTGCAGGTGCAGGAGCGCACCCTCAGCCCCACACAGATGAAGGAGCTGCTGCAGCGCATCAATCATGAGATCACCGCCATTTACGAACGCTTCACCCTGGTCAAGACCAACGGCCAGCTGATTATCGAGAATTGTCGCAACAGTGAGGAGAAGACACTGGTGCAGACGACGATCGATCAGTTGGCCGCATCCCTGGCTCAAGTACGGGGCTGGTTGGACGAGAAGAAGCAGGCGGTGGGCGATAGCCTGGATGCTTGGACGAGATTCATGAATCTGTATCAGATTGTCATGTCATGGGCGGCCGAGAAGCGTACGTTTATCGATCAGTCGATTGATTTGCGCACCCTGCCCGAGGCTAGAAACAAACTGAACGACTATGTGGCGGCTGTGAAGAGTATTAAACCGATTGTCAAGCATTTGAGCGAAATGGACAAGGAACTGGAACACATTGGTCAAGTGACGACTGTGGGCGATCTCAAGGACAAACTGCAGGAGGCCGAGGATGCGAAGATAGCCGTGGAAGCGGTGCTGCTGGAGAGGGTAACACCTACATTGAGGATATATCTTTTTTTGAGCTGTTCCATAACTAACATTTGTTCATTTTCAATAGAACTCTCTGCTGCAAGAGGCCTGCGAGGAATGGGATCAATGTGAACGCAAAATCAAGGATATACGCGCCTGGCACGAGAAGACCAAACAGGGTCTGGACTCGTCGCAGCAGCAGAAGAAACCGCTGCGCGATCAGCTTGGATTCTGTGAGAAGACCCTGGCCGATATAAATGTGCAAAAAACAAAACTGAGACTGTCTATCGAGAAGCTGGAGGTGAGTATCCAACCAAATGAAATTGTTAATCAACCAAAAGAATGCATTGCCATGCTTCCCGCATCCCTTTTCCGTTTTCCCTTTTTCTGCGTTTCATTGCCAGGTTCACTTCCGCAATGGCATGGGTGGTGATCCACGCCTTAGCGAGAATGTTGACGATCTGGTGCGCGTGCTCGACGGCTTGGGTGAATTGGTGAAAGCCAAGTCCCAAAGCCTCGAACAAACGCTGGCCCAGATCGATGTCTACCAGCAGCAGATGCAAACGCTGCGGCAGCGCATCATCCAGGAGGAGCAACAGCTGCGTCTGGTGATGGCGCCCACGTACTTGCCACACGATCGTGAGCGAGCATTAGCCGATCAACAGGTACGTAACATCCCAGAGTCTTTATTTCAACGGTATAGATCAGATCCCACCCCCCTTCTCCAGTTAGTAGTTTATTCCAGCTAGCAGATCAGATCAGACTATATATATATATATATCTCTGTTGTGTTAGGAGCTCTTTCTATTAAAGTTTTACCCTCCCCCTGTTTATATAACTCATTTTCGTCATTGCTATGAGAACGATCTTTCATTGCTATGCCAAAAACAGTTGACAGAACAACCCGGTTTGTTAGCCAAAAAAAAACAAAACAAAACCAACAGTTATTAACACTTCATATGATATTTATTCAAAAATAATATTTGATTAATCTATGAAAACGTCGTCCCGTTCCCCCATGCGCTTTGAAAGTATGCGCCGGGTAGGTCGAAAAAAAGTTGCACGGTGGCTGCGTATTATTTTATTTCTATTATTATTTTTTTTTTCATTTATTCAAATAGAACAAGAAAAACGCGAAATTTTCAATTGATTTTTTTTTTTCCTATTCTTATTTTCTTCTTCTTTTATTTTTGCGTCATTTGTATTATATTTTTTTTTTCTATTACGTTTTTATTTTCGAATTCATTTTGCACCATTTTATGCACATTCAAAAGACAGACAGAGATCAACATTTAAATATCATATACATACACGTATTATTTTTGTGCTTCCTTATGTTTTCCTCCATTACATATTATACATAAAATCACCAGCTCTCATCGTGCAGCTCTCATTCTCTCATGTCTCATCTCTCCCTCTCTATCATTGGAAAATCACCACAAATCGTAATACCCTCACCATCTGTCAGAAAACTGCTTGTGGTGCCCGCTTCATTCGTCACGTGCTGCGGATCAAAAAAAAAAATATATATATATATATTTATATATAGTAGAGGAAACAAATAAGTTCTTGTTGTCAGGGTTAGCCCACCCATGAAATGAAAAGCCAGGAATTTTCTACCTCCAGACGTTTTATTTTTGGGCCAACAAAATTGCTCTTTTTTTGTGTTGCTCTTCTCCTTATAAACAAAAATTATGATACTATATTTAAACGAAAGCAGGTGGCCTAAAGAAATGTTCTTTCTGTCTGAAATAGTTTATAGTTTTTAATGCTAAAATTTAAGTTTACATTGCGAATTGCAGTGTCTGGCGGTAAGTGGCAAAACAAAAACTCAAACTTTAAACTCAAGAATTCAAAAACGATATTTGAAATGTAGTTACAAAGCTATGATATAATTGCGGGGGCAACTGTTGCTATGAGAACTTATTTTGGATACACTCATTCATCACCTCACAATCACATACATATCTCTCTCTCACACTCAACACACTCACCATCAAAAGAAAAAAAAATACATTCATCACATTACGCATTTAATGGCACAAAAATTACACATTAAGCTTACGCTTAGACATTTTTATAATTTAATTTTTTAGTTTTTATTTCAATTTTAAATTGAATTAGTCTGCTTTTAGCCGAGCAAACATTTATCGTCACTCAATTATTGCCTTACCTCTCTCTCTCTCTATCTCTCTAAATCTATCTCTATCTCTGGTATTAGCGGAAATCGGTTAACTTTTAGTTATGGTTACGGTTTCTAATGTTGATTTTGGTATTTTATTTTTGACAAATTGTATCTCTTTTTTTATCTCTCATTGAATATATATTCGTATATATTACGGAAAATCCTGGTGTCGTTGCGCTATAAAAAAAAAACAAAACAAAAACAAAAACATGCAAATTGCTAAACACTCCATAAAAACAAATATGTTTATCTTGCTCGTTTACTAATGATCCTAACTCTGGTCCTTGGGCTTTGCTACTCGCTTGTCGCCTGCTGAAACCTGTGACTAAAAAACCCCAACTCTCTCACTCTGTAAACCCATACCCCAAAAAACATAAAACATTGACATACATAAAAAATTAATATTTACATGGGTACTGCTTACTTCTTCTGCCAAATATACAAAATATCAAACATGGTTTATGGTTGCTTTTTGTATCCCTTTCTCTCTCTCTCCACCCCCACATGGCGCTGTCTAAATAAATTACCATTAAATTAAACTCAAATCTCAATATGCTGACATTTTGTTTGTATTTCTTCTCTGCCTCTCTCACGCCTGAAAACAAAATCTCTTTCTGAAAAAAAACTATCAAATATCGAACATGCACCATATATATATATATATTATATATACCCCCATACACACGATATATAGGCATGCCGGGAACGTGTGAAAAATCTGCATTCGAAAATAACCGCACGTAATGAGCGCATCAAGTTGTTAATACATCGGGGCACGCCGGACGATGCCAAGCTAGAGATTTAGAGATGCCGTAGTCGTAGCCCCGAACCCCTTTTAAATATAAAAATTAATTTTTAATGCCACAATCTAGGACTAGATAAAAAACATTTTCTTGACAGTCGTTGGTCGCGCCTCGCTTCATGCCGCCTGCAATCTCCCCAAAGTTCTGTTTGGCACCACACAGGAGTGGAGGGGCGATCTGTACGACTGTCGACTGCCACACACATGACCCAGAAACATGTTTAAGGAATATCTATACCAAAACAAATACCAAAAAAATACTATCCTATATGATATACATATCTAAAGAATAAATTTAAATTATCAAATTATTTATCTATTTTTTTTTTTAAATGCAAAACCGAAAGAGAGTATTATTTTTGGTAGGGACAAATATTTTCAGAGATCTATAGGTTCATTCTAGTAGGTAGGGTAGCCCTTTGACCCTATTGACCCACCCCCCTGAAAATAAACAAAAACCATATGAAAAAGCTAACGTTTTTGGCAAATCTTCCCCCTATCTCTCTCTCTATCTCTCCAAATGAATCATTGATGAACGATGATGAACGACATTAGGCAATGCGAGAATCAATCGATGGCATGCAGCAGACCTACGATGCAACCGCCAGAAAGTCCTATGCTCTGGATCCCCATTCAGTGGTAACCACTTCATCGACTGTGTCGTTGCTTATGAAGCCAACGGCCGTAGGTTTGACCTATGCTGAAGTGTTATCGGGACAAACGAGTCCGGTAAGCGGTAATGAGACGACCCAAACGACAGCAGCACCAACGAGAAAACCCAGACAAGAACGAGTATACCCAGCCACGACAACGAACCGGCAAGAACGACACCACCAAGAAACGACAAACAATCAGACAACAATTACAACCACCATTACGACAACGACAACATCCACGACTTTGAAACGTACGCATGACGAAGACCAGATCGAACTGAATGGAGAAGGTATAACCACTGCGATCTATGAGAGCAGAGATCAGGTTCAGGTCCCCCAACAGGTTACACCAACACCACCACCACCAATCGAGAGTCATGTGGAGACGATCGAGATCAGCAACAGCAGCACGGCACAACAGCAACAAGTTCCTAACCAACCTCAGACCCAACCTCAATCCACCACCAACCCCAGCAGTCAGCAGTTCATTGAAAGCGAGCGGCAATATCATGTGAAAACGGGTAAGAATCTACAGCCTCCCAGGCCAGAACGTCGCGGACGTTCGCCAAGACGTCGACGAGAGCCACATACAATCGAACAGGGAGCAGCAGCAGCAGCAGCAGCAGCAGCACCAGCAACACCAACATGAGCAGCAGCAGCAGCTCTTCTTGCCCTTGGATGATCGTACGAGATCGCGTAGCCCCATGTGGGTGCCCGGTTCAACGTCCTATGCGGAGGTACTGCGAGGCCTGGAGCTCGAGCGTCTCAAGAAGCAGGCGGCCGAGCAACTGGCCGCCCAAGGAGTCCAGAGTCATACGACGGATCTGACCATACAGGATGTGGTGGATGCCAGTGCCGCCGTAGCAGCCAGCATGTATGTCCCTGAAGCAGAGCCGGAAATAATCGAGGAACCAACACAACAGCAATATATAAGCGAAGTCAATCCAGAACATGGCTATGTTCCTCCCCAACAACAGCAGCAGCTGCCGCAACAAGTGGAGAGTGTTAACAATTATGAGGTACCCATGACAGCGGAGGAGATTGCCGCCACTTACTTGCAGCCCGATCCACAGCTGTATCAAACGATGTACGAGAATGTGGCCGATAGCGGCCAGTGGGGCTATGTGGCAAATGCCAGCACAGTGCCGCAGCAGGAGCAACAGCAGCAGCAGCCACAGAACTACTACGAGCAAATCCTGCAGATGCAATATCCCCTGCAATACCAGCCCGTGGCCGTGCAGCCAGCGACAACACAGTTTCAACTGTTGCCGGGCTACTACCAGCCCATAACCACAACCGACACTTATTCAACGCTCTATCCTACAGAGCCATCGCAGATTTACTTTACCCAACCGACGGTAGAGTACTCACAGGAGTATCAAACGCAGCAGCAGCAGCCACCTCAGCAGGAAGCAGAGATCTATCAACCGGAGACGACAGAGCAGACCTATCTGTTAGATCCGTACAGCGTACAGGAATCGACGACAGGTAACAGCGTGCTGGATCGCGTTGTCACCACACTCGCATCGATGGTGCAACAGAGCACGGAACCATTGACCACCAGTACGCAGCAGATTCAGCCCACTGTGGTACAGATCGAACCCGAAGAAGAGGAGCCCCAGTACTATATCGAAGAGAGTGTGCAAATGCTGAGATCAGTGGAGCCACAGGAGTTTGAGGTTGATGAGCCACGACCCGACATTACCTTTGGGCAGTTTGAGATGGATGCCATAGAGACGATACCCGTTGAAGTGCCACCCCAGCCACAAGTGAAACCACAGCCACAACAGCAATCCACTGTCGTAACGACAACAAGCTATGTTCAGGAAACCATTGTCTCGGACCAGACGACCGAACAGCCAACTGTGATAACTCAGCAAATCAGGACTCAATCTGTAGTCCCCGAAACGGCCCCAGCGACTACAATCACTGTGCGTCCCCAAGCCCAACGTGTGCAGCAGCAGCAGGCAATCCAGCCCCAGGATATCAGTGCCGGTAGTACTTATGCCGAAGTCTTATTCGGTCTACAGCACAAAGAACAACAACAAAAACAACAATCCGTTTTCCAGCCATCCAGTCAGCAGCTACAACAGATACCCGTACGCCTATCGCCGCCAACACAGCGCAGAGCTGCAGCTGAACACACAACGAATACGAAGCATACAACAGTTACTACCACAACGATCACCAACTCAAGAAAATCGCCAACTTGGGAGCGCAGGAGACGATAATACCGAGTCGACTACGTCGCGTCCAAAGCGAGTGCGACATGAGACGCAACCCGAACCATTGCCGATCAAGGTCAGCACCCGTAAGGACACCAAATTGAACAAAAAGCCTAGATCTCCGGAAAGCAATGGTGTGGAGATCACTAAAGTGGTGCAAGAAGTGGTTGAAGAAGCCACCAAGCAGCCAGAGCCAAAGCCAAGAAAGTCGAAAAAACCTAAAAAGACAACCGACAATGCAACATTTGTGGATGCAGTGCAGTTTGTGGAACACAAAGTCGATGCAGCTCCAGTGGTGTCCAAGAAGGAGAAAAAGCAGACATCACCTATTCTGGAAAAGAAGCAGGCGTCACCTGTTCTGGAGAAGAAGCAAACGTCACCTGTTCTGGAGAAGAAGCAAACGTCACCTGTTGTGGACCGAAAGAAGGATTCAACTGCAGTGGAGCGAAAGCAAACCTCTCCTGTACTAAGCCGAAAGCCAGCATCACCTGTTCTAGAGGGAAAGCAAACCGTGGTAGAGACTACGGTTACCACCACCCAAACGGTTGAGCCTGTAGTGTTTGAGGTCACTTCAACTCCTGAGCCAACACCAAAGAAGGAAAAGAAGCAACCCGCTAAACCAGTAGCGGAAAAGCCTCACACAAGCAAGAAATCTGCAGAGCCAGTCAAGGAAAAGGAGACTATAAAGTCCGAAGCAAAGAAGGAAGAGGTTGAAACTGTTGTAGCTAAGAAGGAGGACCCAGCTCCAGTTGCGCCTTCCCGGAAGGATAAGAAACAGTCAAAGACGACAGTGGAGAAGGTTGTTATCAGCAGCACCAAATCTGTTGAACCAGTCATCGAAAAGGAGATTGTCGCACCTGCCATCGAACAGGAAATTGTAGAACCAGTCATTGAAAAGCAGATTGTCGTACCAGCTGTGATTGAAACCAAGGAGAAAATCGAAGCAACTCCATCGACACCTTCGAAAAAGGAAAAAAAACAGGCAAAAACGGTTGTGGAAACTACAGTCATCAGTACCAAGACAATTGAGCCAGCTACAGAGTCAGAAACTGTCACAGAGAAGATTTCTGAAGAGGAAATTATTGCTGAGAAGATTGTTGAGTCGGAACCAGTCAAAGAGAAGCTTATTGTAGAGCCCACACCCGTTATGGAGAAGAAAATTGCTGAACCTGAAGTTCCAACTTCAACACCTACAAAGAAGGACAGAAAGCGTTCCAAGAAGGAGGCCAAGCCCGAAACAACATTGAATATTGAGGTAGCTGTTGCTCCAGTCAAGGATGTTTCAAAAACCACAACAGATACTGTTACGGCAATAACTGAAAGCAATGTTGCTGATCAAACAGTTGAAAAAACGATTGAAGTAAAAATTCCAGAAGTCTTACCTGCACAAACAGCACCAGAGCTAGTAATTGAGCCCGTAATAGTGGCTGAAAAAGTGTCAGCTCCCGTGGAAATTCCCTCACAGGTTGTAATTACAACCTCAGAAACGTTAACAGAGTCATTGAATGGTACTCCCAAATTGCAGGAGACCGTAAGTCCTGTCTCTACGGAAATAAGTGAAACCATCACTGAGGGTGAACCTACTGTCACGACATCGACAAACACAATATCAACGGAAAGTGGAACCACAACTATCACCACGCGTACAATCACCAAACACATAACCAAGCGTATAGTCAAGCGTATTGTAGATGGTAAAGAGGAGATTGTCGAGGAAGATGTGATTGATGATTTGCCCGAGGAGAATATCTCCGTGGAGCAGTTCAATCTACCAACAGTTGAAACCACAAGTAGCGAGGTGCCCATTGATGCGACTGGACTCTCGACCACACAAGACACCATAGTGCAGCAGGGATCGATAACCAAGACAACGATCACCAAGACAAAGCGCATCCTGAAGCGTATCACCGAGGATGGGGAGGAAATTGTTGAGGAGGTCTTTGAGGATGAGCCTGAAGTGGAGAGAGATGTTACGCTGCTGCCAACGACAGTGCTAACCTCCACGGTTATCACAACGGCGGAGGAGCACAAATCCAACATCCAGGAGGCTGCCCAGAACGTGGTTGAGGAAGTCATCAAGCAAGCCGAAGAGATAACCCAACCTGATGAGCGAAATTCAACGCGTAAGGACATAAAGAAGGCCAAGAAGGAACAGCCCATTCCAGAACCCGAGAAACCAATATTGGTTGAGGAACCAAAAGTAATAAAGGAAGTTGTGGAGGAACCGCAGCAGCAGAAACCCCAAAAGCCATCCCGGAAGGACAAGAAGAAACACAAGAAGTCGGAAAGTGAAATCGCCACAAACATTGTCCAAAAGGTAGCCGAAATTATCGAGCCACAGCCAGAACCTCAACTAGAAATCACAGAGCCCCTGAACATAACAAGTGCAATTACTACGGATGAGAGACAAACCCTGTCATCGGATGGATCTGTTGTCAGCAGCGATGATGGCAGCAGCCTCATCAAGACGACTGTCATTCGTACAACCAAAATCGTTAAAAAAATCAGCAGCAATCAGCAAGATAGTCAGGAGATGACATCTTCCACGCACTCGGACGTCCAATCCCTGGGATCCTTTGACTTGGCCGAAGAAGCTGTCGAACAGATCGAACCCAAGATTGAGAAATCCGAGACGAACAGTCGCGAAATAAGCGATGAGGGTGTGGTTAAGACAACTAAAACTACAACAACTCGGACCATCAAGAGCCCAAAGAGCGAGGAAGTACCTGTTGAGGCCACATGGGAGGTGCCAACTGAAGATGAGCCTGCAGTCTCGTCTCCTTCAGAGATCGAGGAGCCTGTCGAGGGTGGTGTGATCAAAACCACCATTGTGCGTACCACGAAAATCGTGAAGAAGATTTCACAGGAGAGTGAAAATATCAGCGAGACAAGCAGTGAAGCCGAGACTTCCCTGGATTTCATTCAGGATGCTCCCCTTGTGGCTGAATCCGTGACTACAGAATCCAACAGTGAGGGCATCACAAAGACCACAACTACACGAACTACAAAGTCTGTAAATAAGAGTGTAGATGAAGAAGCTCCTGTTGCTCCAGAAAATAAGTGGCTGACAGCTATTCCTGACGTTCCAGATACGACTGAAATAAAGACAACCATACTAGACTTTATTTCTGCAGAAAAAAAGGCAACACAAAACATCCCAGAACCCGAGAAATTCATTGCCGAACCCGTTGAAGTTGCAGTTTCAATTTTAGCAGAGCCTCAGCAAGGAAATGGTATCGTTGAGGAAATACTGGTGTCGGAGCCAGACAATTGTGGGGTTGGTGATGTTGTCAAGACAACAATTGTGCGAACTACGAAAATAGTTAAAAAGGTGTCGCAAAATAACGAGCAACAAAACGTTAGCGAGGTCTCTACAGAGTCGGAACCAGTGTTGCCTGCTGCTGAAGAGGATACTATTGGAGGTGGTGTAACCAAAACGACAACCGTGCGTACGACAAAGATCGTGAAGAAGCTGAACGAGGATGGTGAAACAACCAGAGAGGAGAGCAGCAGCACTATCAATGAACCTCCCGTTACAGTGCGTGAAGCATCGCCAACGATTTCAGAGATTCCCAGTGAAACTTCGACCACATCTAGTCAAATCGATGGAGCGATTATCAAAACCACGACGATACGTACGATGCGCATTACAAAGAGAATAACCAATGACGGACGTATACTCCTGACTGAAAGTGACTCGCCGGGCGATGTTGTTGTGACATCGAGCATCGAAATGCCAGATCAAAGACCAGTGAGTCCGGTTGTTGCCACAGCCCCCTCCCTTGTCGCTGTTACTCCCAGTAGCGAGTTCAAGTTGGATAATCTAGAGGCAGCAAACATTCAGTTGGGATCAGTTAAGGATAGTCCCACAGGGGTGAAGGTCATCGGCATTGAGACAAACACTGTCGAACTGCCAAACCTTAGGGAACAGATCAGAACAGAAACTAAGACAAACGGGGATATAAACGAAACAGATAGTATTACCACTACTACGACGACTACCAGAAATACGATACTCACGACAACCCAACGACGCAGCTTCGAGACCGAAGATGGCACAAATGTTCTTTTCGTGGGAGAAGGCATTGACGGTGCCTATCCACCGGGCACAGTCCAAAAGATATCCCTTATCACGCATGAAGAAAAGCTGAAGACACCGATTGTGAAAATGCATCTAGATTTTCCAGAGGTTAGTCTTCGTGTGACCGAGACGGTGACGGAAAATGTGGAGTCCCTGCAAAGAACGGCGGAAAGTAGTCAAAACTCTGTGGTTGAGATATTCCAAGAGGCAGCAGAGCCCCTCGTAGAGTCCGTTTCTCCGGAAATCCAGTCTGAAAAACTTGTCAAGATTACAGATTCCACAGAATCTGTGTCAGTGTCGAGTATTACTTCTGCGGAGATCATTACAGAGCCACTCAAAGAGTCTGTCCAATCAGAAGACGTTAAAATTACAGAACCTACGCAAGAGGTAGTAGTCCCTGAAGGTAGCAAACCCCTGTCCCCTGCAGAGTTGAGTCCGGAAGAGCAGCAGCTGTTCGAGGACATTCAAAAGAAGCTCTCTAAGAAAGATAAGAAGAAACGTCCGGCTATACCCGAAGAATTTATTAAGCAAGAGACCACACAGATCATTGTAGAAGAAAGCAAAGGTAATGAAATCATTGATGAGAAACAGGTCCTAACCGAAGTCGTTGTCCCCTCAGTCCCCTCAGAAACTGAACCCAAGCAATTGTTACCCAATATATCTCAAGATGAGGGTTTGATATCCAGCATTCAGTTAGTTGAGCAGACAAAAGCAGATATTATTTATCGTGAAACTATTGAGGTTACGCCAGCCCCTAAAATTACCACCATTCCAAGTCCAAGTCAAGAAGAAGTTCCAGTAGATACTCAGTCAAGCCCCAGCCCTGCTCCTACTAAAACCGCTAATCAAACTGTTCCTGCCCAATCGAGCGCCCTAATTGCTGAGCCATTTGTAGCTAACACGGTAAGCACTATAAGTACTATCATTAATATTGAGCAAAACTCTGCACTTGATAAAATCTTTGAAATACCCACATTTGATATACTTAAATTTAATATTGCTGAGGGTAATTATCACATAATCAATTCCAAGGCTAAAGAAATCGATCAACCAGCACCCGTTCAACCAGTAGAAGTTACGGCGCCAAAGACGGTAAGCTTTGCCGACGAATCCGAAACTATAGTCAACAAAACCATCGCGGAAACTATCCCTAAAACGACGGAGTCCCCTCTTTCCACCCTTGAAATCGAAACTTTCCCTGCAATTTACAACTTTGAAGTTCCTAAATACGACATAATTTCCCTCAACAAGGCGGAACTTTTACAAAAAACAGTAGAAGCAGCAACGGTTCTAACAGAAACAGCTTCAACAACACAAGAAACTTCTGCTAAAGAAGAAATTTCGATTATCACAGGAGAAACTGAAACGGTCCCAACAACACAACAAAAACAACCAATTCCAGAAATCATAAAAGATGTACCCAATATATACAACTTCGAAGTACCCAAGTACAACATCAGGGAATACAGCAGAGCCGAAACTCTCTTTAGAGTCTCCGCTGAGCCGATATCTCCCATTGATACTGTTCCCGAAAAGGATAGCACTCAAACCGAAAAAAGCACTACCACTAGTATTACCACTACAACAACAGCCACAGAAACCAAGAAGGACAACGAGCACGAAACACCAACAGAAACTTCTGTTGTTGTGGAGATCAAACCTACTCAATCAGAGCCAATCGTTGAAGCTCCAGTGGTTGAAGAGTCCAAGACAATCACAACCGTCACTACCACAACCACTGTAACTGAGAAGGAGACATCAAGCGAGGTTCCTGAGCCACAAAAGGATGTTCCTGTCGTCGAAGTTACCAAGTCAGTGACTATTGTCGAGGATGTCAAACCCACTCAACCGGAGCCAATAGTTGAAGCTCCAGTGGTTGAAGAGTCTAAGGCAATCAAAACCGTCATTACTACAACCACTGTAACTGAGAAGGAGACATCAAGCGAGGTTCCAATTGCTGCAGTAATTGAACAGCCGGAACCCATAAAGTTCCCAGAACAGCCGAAGAAACCAGCATACGCCGGCTTGCCTGTGGACGACTCGTCTAGCTCTTGGATGGACGTCCTGGACGAACCCATGAACTTCTCCGATGACGAAGAGGAAGCTGTCCCTGAACCACAAAAGGAGGTTCCTGTCGTCGAAGTTACAAAGTCAGTGACTATTGTCGAGGATGTCAAACCCACTCAACCAGAGCCAATCGTTGAAGCTCCAGTGGTTGAAGAGTCTAAGACAATCACAACCGTCACGACCACAACCACTGTAACTGAGAAGGAGACATCAAGCGAGGTTCCTATTGCTGCAGTAATTGAACAGCCGGAACCCATAAAGTTCCCAGAACAGCCGAAGAAACCAGCATACGCCGGCTTGCCTGTGGACGACTCGTCTAGCTCTTGGATGGACGTCCTGGACGAACCCATGAACTTCTCCGATGACGAAGAGGAAGCTGTCCCTGAACCACAAAAGGAGGTTCCTGTCGTCGAAGTTACAAAGTCAGTGACTATTGTCGAGGATGTCAAACCCACTCAACCAGAGCCAATCGTTGAAGCTCCAGTGGTTGAAGAGTCCAAGACAATCACAACCGTCACGACCACAACCACTGTAACTGAGAAGGAGACATCAAGCGAGGTTCCTATTGCTGCAGTAATTGAACAGCCGGAACCCATAAAGTTCCCAGAACAGCCGAAGAAACCAGCATACGCCGGCTTGCCTGTGGACGACTCGTCTAGCTCTTGGATGGACGTCCTGGACGAACCCATGAACTTCTCCGATGATGAAGAGGAAGCTGTCCCTGAACCACAAAAGGACATTCCTGTCGTCGAGGTTACCAAGTCAGTGGCTATTGTCGAGGATGTCAAACCCACTCAACCAGAGCCAATCGTTGAAGCTCCAGTGGTTGAAGAGTCCAAGACAATCACAACCGTCACGACCACAACCACTGTAACTGAGAAGGAGACATCAAGCGAGGTTCCTATTGCTGCAGTAATTGAACAGCCGGAACCCATAAAGTTCCTAGAACAGCCGAAGAAACCAGCATACGCCGGCTTGCCTGTGGACGACTCGTCTAGCTCTTGGATGGACGTCCTGGACGAACCCATGAACTTCTCCGATGACGAAGAGGAAGCTGTCCCTGAACCACAAAAGGACATTCCTGTCGTCGAGGTTACCAAGTCAGTGACTATTGTCGAGGATGTCAAACCCACTCAACCAGTGCCAATCGTTGAAGCTCCGGTGGTTGAAGAGTCCAAGACAATCACAACCGTCACTACCACAACCACTGTAACTGAGAAGGAGACATCAAGCGAGGTTCCTGAACAACAAAAGGATGTTCCTGTCGTCGAAGTTACCAAGTCAGTGACTATTGTCGAGGATGTCAAACCCACTCAACCAGAGCCAATCGTTGAAGCACCAGTGGTTGAAGAGTCCAAGACAATCACAACCGTCACTACCACCACCACTGTAACTGAGAAGGAGACATCCAGCGAGGTTCCTATTGCTGCAGTAATTGAACAGCCAGAACCCATAAAGTTCCCAGAACAGCCGAAGAAACCAGCATACGCCGGCTTGCCTGTGGACGACTCGTCTAGCTCTTGGATGGACGTCCTGGACGAACCCATGAACTTCTCCGATGACGAAGAGGAAGCTGTCCCTGAACCACAAAAGAAGGTTCCTGTCGTCGAAGTAAAATCTCAGCCAGAGCCAATTCTCGAAGATGTCAAACCCCTTCAATTGAAGCCAGTCGTCGACGAGATCAAACCATCTCAACCAGCGCCAATCCTTAAAGAGTCAAAGACAACCACAACAGTGACTACCATTACCACATCCACTGTTAGTGAGACGGAAACAGCTAGCCAAGTTGCGATTACCGAGGACCCAAAGGAACCTGAAAATGTGGCGGCTGCTCCCGTTATCCAACCCATTGAAGAATCACTGACTACTACAGGTATTGTTGAAGAGAAAACAACGCAAGTAGAAAAATCATTGGAAGAACCCATTGACACGTGGTCCAGTGTCTTGGAAGATTCATTGCCGAGCTCTGGAAATGTTGGATTTACTTCGAACTTGTCTGCGGATGCCCCTGAGTTCACTCCATCTTATCTGAGGCATACGTTCTCTGACCAAACGCATACATTCCTAGCCAATGAAAGGGTTTATAACGAGTTCATACCAAGGAGTAGGACAGAGCAAGTTATTGTACAACAGCAAAGGCCCAAAAAGGTAAAACCTCCAAAGAGACAGAATAAAAAGGCTGAAGTACTTGAGGAAGCTCCTCAAGTTACTGCACCAACGAAGGAAGCATTCGTTGCAGAACCGATCAAAATTGTCGAAGATGTTGAAAATGTCTGGACAAAGAATCGTGATGGAAAATCATATGCCGATGTTTTGCTCAATTCTGGCGTAATCAGCGAAGCTGTAACGACTATTATTGAGCACCAGAAGGAATCTATTGCTGAACCAGTAGCTGCCAAGGTCAAATCTCAAGAGCGGACGAAGAAGACACAATTAGCAAAACGCAAGCCAACGGAAAGAACCCATGAACCAACGTCTACGCCAACGACAGAAAGCGAAAAATCTAAGCCAAATAGCGATAGCGAACCGTCGAAACCGACAACAGGAACCGAACTGTCCAAACCAACGACAGAAAGTTCAAAGGAGCCTTCGTCTGATGAAAGGGAACATTCAAAAACCTCTGAGCTGACGTGGTCGGCTCTTGTACGCAGACCTGGTGAATGGTCTGATAACACCATTGTCAAAAAGGAGGTTACACAGACCACCATCGTTACAGAGGAAAAGCATCACCAGAAGGAAAAGGATGAACCGAAGAAAACCAAAGCGAAAAAGATAAAGAAGAACAAGAAACCAGTGGTCGAGCCAGTTTCCACGACTTCCGAGGACGAACAGCCCGAGCCTGTACCCACACCCATTGAGGCAAAACCATCTGAAGTCGCACCCGAAAAAGTAAAGGAAAATGAACAGGAAAGCAGTGGTTTCTCCTGGGCCTCTCTTGTCAAAAGGCCTGGCGAATGGATTGATACTACAGTGACTACAATCAAAACTGCTGTAACTTCCTCCACAGACGTAAAAGAAACCGCTGAGAAGCATGAAAAACCTGAGAAGTTAAAAAAGCAAAAGTCAAAGAAGAAGCCCGAGCCAAAGAAAATCATTTCCGAGCCCGAAAGCGACGACATCAAGCCAGTAAGCAGTGATCCTTCCGACGAAGTGGCTGTTTTTCAACCCGAAGTACAAGTTGAGAAACCAACACCAGTTGAAAACACTGGCAGCTCCTTCTCTTGGGCATCCTTGGTCAAGAAGCCTGGTGAATGGGTGGATGATATCGCTGCTCGTAAGAAACCAGTTGAAGCACCAAAGGAAGAGCGTAGAGATGAATCGCAACAAAGGAAGGAGCGTAGAGAAGAACCACAACAAAGAAAGGAACGCAAGACCCACAAAGCGGAGTCGAAACCAAAGTCGGAAAGCACTATAAAGCGAAAGGTAAGGCAGGAAAAATTGGAACCCGAAGTCATTCAGTCGACATCATCAGATGATAGTGACGTTGTTGAGAAACTGCCAACTCAAGATGAAAATACTATTACATGGGCCAAAATCGCTAGCCAAATAGATCATATGACCGATCTACCAGCAAAAGCAAAGAAGGTAGAGGTAAAGCAAAAGCAACCTGAACCCTTAAGACAACAGGTTAAGGTCGATCGTTATGAAAAACAGGCCAAGCCAAAGGTTCGTAGTATATCACCAGAATTTGTACATTCCCAGAAGGAACAAGTAAGCACGTGGGCCTCTGTACTTACGAAACAAACGAATGATTTCATCGAGGCAGAAAAGCCCAAAACAACACAAAAACTTCCAGAAGAAAAGCGAAATCCAAAGGTTTTGACTCCGGAACTGGT